AACTCTGAATTTAAACCAGGAGCCAAAATGATCAACAAATTGATCGTGGACCCCTCAAATATAAGAAGAAGAAGAAGATCCATCTTGTGGGCTCTGCAGCCCGTACAGCTGATTGGAGCGTAGTATAGGTTGTGCTGAAAATACTTTTGATTATCAACTTTTAATGCTAGATAGAGTAGGAAAAAAACGAAAAGTAGCAGGGGTTCCACAAAAAGTCAAGAAACGTCTCTGCTTGACCCACTGTGTTATACAAATATATTTTTTTATTACTGAAAAGTAATGAGTTTTTTTTAATTTTTTGTTCTGGATAAACTACTAAGAATTAAACGAATTTACACCAAAAAAAAAAAATTAAAAAAATTAAACATTAAAAATAAAATTCCTTCCCAAAAAGGTATTCATAACAAAAAAGCATTGCTAAAATAATTTTACACGTTGAACGAAAAAGAAAAACCTATCATACGTTTATTTTTTTTATATTTCAAAGTTTGAGCAAGTCAAAAAGAAAAAAAAAAAATTTTGTGAAAAGGACAATACATTTTTATGGCTTTTCAAAATTGGAACTTTTTATAATTCGTTTATAACCGGCATAATTATGTTAAGAAGATATCAGTTGTTTACTAAAGACATATTATTTATTAGTGTTTGATTTTATTTGAGGGAAACCGTATAAAATTAAAGTTTAAATTGCCAATATTCAGTTGATTGAAATGTTGATTTAGATTTTCAAACTACTGTAACTTTCTTCAGATCAACTAAAAATTTCAATATATTTTAAAATAAAAAATTGTTTTACCCATTCCATAGAATTTATTTTTACTACTACAAAAAAAAAAAAAAAGTTTGGGGCGGGGGATTTGCAAGATATAGAAATGCTAGGTTTTGAAAAGAAAATTATTTTGTTAAGTTGTTTGTATATATATTCTATATATTTGCACTGGAGTATCATATAAAAATGAAATTTAAAAAAAAAATGTGTTCAAATGGCCGAGGAAGATTGTTTATTATTCTGATGTTATAGAGAGAAAAGTCGCTGGAGATTTAATAAATAAAGGCTAAGTTTTTTTTTTATTTTATAACATCATTTTACTCCGTTGTTCCCAAATTGTGTTAAATAATTAGAAAAATTAGAAACGCACTCAATTTAAAATAATTGATGAATCGTCCACTAGTTGTATGCAAACGTTAAATTCCTAATTTTTGTTTTTATATATCTTTTTTTTTTTTTTTTTTTTTTTTTTTTTTATATTTTTTTTTTTTTTTTTTTTAGTTTTCATTTAATCTAACGCAACATAACACGGATGGAATCGAGTACTGGTACGTTGAAATGCTTGCCAAAGCGGAATATTTTAATTTGCACCCGGGTACCAGAAGTGAGAGGTTGGGATTAAAAAACTATTAAAAATTTTATTGTTGGGTTTGTAAGACAAAATGAGGTATCACATGAAAGATAATTGTATGGACTATATGTATGTAAACGTAATACTTCAGTTTAACTAAAATAAACTACCACAAATAATATGCTGCAATGCATTCAGATTGAATCATACCAAGGCAGTTATTAGCACAGTCAGACAACACAGCTTAAATCACACCCAGGCAGTTTTTAGCACAGTCAGACAACACAGATTGAATCACACCCAGGCAGTTATTAGCACAGTCAGACAACACAGATTGAATCAAAAACAGGCAGTTGGTACCACAGTCAGACAACGTAGTTTTAAAATGCCAACAAATTTACTTGATCATCATTTTATTTCTTTGATTTAATAGATTCATTGCTTGTTAGTGATAAATAAAATAATTTATTTAACAGTAACAACTTAATCACAAACACCCTGGCTGAGCCAAAGTGTCCAATTTGCTTATCTTTATTCCACAATGGCAGTTTTATTCAAACATGTGTACTCAGAACAGTTTCACTTTTATTTAGAGCCGTGATATTATTAATTTAAAAAAAATATATTTTTTAAAATAATATATTTATGAAAATATCTGTAGTAAGAATATGCGATTGAAAAAAAAAATGCTAATGTATAGAAAAAAAAAATCAATGCCCCCCCTTAAATAATGATTAAAACAACCGATTCACGAAAGCCCCAAAGAAACTTGGCACAGGACAATAGAGACCGATCTGCAAATAGACATCTGAATCTGCAGAGAGTTCCTACAAAAATAGCAGATAGACAAAGGTGGCACTCGGTGGCCGCAACCTTAATCACCTTTTGATATTTAGGATGTGAATGAATATAAAGCTTCATATTATTTGAAAGATCAAGGCAAGGGGGTGTCAGGCGCTATGAAGTCCCCTCCCCCTTTTTTCTTTAATAAGCTAGAGAGCCCAAGGTAAAAATGAAAAATCTGGATCACGGTGACAACAATAAACAACTTAAGACATTTTTCATTACCGGTATTAAAACCAGGCTCAGATAAACTGAAAGTAATCTGAATCTAGGCTAAGTTCCAACTCCCTAGATGTATTCTTTCAAAGTACAGCACAAGCTGTAGCATGCGCAGCGGCCACACCAATGTCCTTTCAGCATGCCACAAGACACGAGGATGTGTCTACTTTGTGTGTAAAGACAGTTTCATGCTAAATATGAAAGACATGAGATAAACACTTTCCAGGCATTTTTACATTTTCATCTGTCAAAACTATGATTATTTTCACTCTTGTAATCTGTCAAAACTATGATTATTTTCACTCTTGTAATCTTTCAAAACTATGATTATTTTCACTCTTGTAATCTTTCAAAACTATGATTATTTTCACTCTTGTAATCTTTCAAAACTATGATTATTTTCACCCATGTAGTGAAAGTTGGTTCCTACATGGCTTTGATCATGAGAAAAGGGAAGTAAATAAATATATTTTTTAAATTAAAAAAAAAAAAAAAAAAGGGGGGGGGGGGGTGGTGTTAAACAGTCTCAGTATACTGTACTGTAACTGAATGTAACAAACAACAATTTCAACTTTCTTTATTCCATTGATGATAACACTGGATGTAACAACTGACTGTTGATTGATTTTGATTATAGTTATCGTCCTCATACATTTCACAACACAAAAATACTGGAGCAGTGTTTAGCATGCTATTGACCATGAGACAACAGCCACGGTGCTGGCTCAAGTTGTTGCAGAAGCAACTCTACGAGGTATTAAAGTAGGGGCACCAGACCAGCGGCCTGTGATCCAGATGTGCAGCCCACCTAGTTATTCCCTGCAAACCAGTGAAGGCTCTCAACGTCATAATTAAAATGATCTCTTTTTTATGGAGTCTGTAGTGAAGCTCTGTCATCCCCAAAGAGTTGAAATCCTAAAGCAGTATTCACTTTGTTTCTTATGTAATGATCTAGGCTCTCCTCGTTGTATATCATCATGGAAGACATTTCTTTATGAGGAATCTGGAAAGATGAAATATGGGAGTGGAGATGCAGAAAATTTCTTAGAAAAATTTATGGACCAACAAAGGATGAATATGGATGGAGAATATGAACCAACAAGGAATTGTACAGTCTATATAAGGATCCCATTATCATTATCAGGATCTGAAATGAAAAAGGACAGGCTACGCTGGGCAGGACACTTATAGATAGAATGCTGAATGACAGAAGAGTGAAGAGGGTGCATCACCAAAACCCCAGAGGAAAACTGATCAAATGCAGACCTAGGCTTTGAGGAATGGATGATGTGGAAAAGGATCTACAACAGCTGGGAATCTGAGCATGGAAGAGAAAAGCATTACTTAGATCTGAGTGGAAGGAAGTAGTGAGGCAGGCTAAAACTATAAATAGCAATACAGGAATGGATGGGGATAGTGTGGGGGGGGGGGGGCTCAAAAATTATCTGATTTATGTCTTGATAATTTGTGCAAAAATAAAATGTCAATTTTGAAGAAGAGAAAAGCATTACTTAGATCTGAGTGGAAGGAAGTAGTGAGGCAGGCTAAAACTATAAATAGCAATACAGGAATGGATGGGGATAGTGTGGGGGGGGGGGGTCTCAAAAATTATCTGATTTATGTCTTGATAATTTGTGCAAAAATAAAATGTCAACTTTGAAGACAAATTAACCCACAAATTTCACTGCCTGTTGCAGTGTTGTACATTCAAATGGTCAGGGTTGTAAATTTAAATGGCCAGTGTTGTACATTCAAGTGGCCAGTGTTGTACATTCAAGTGGCCAGTGTTGCACATTCAAGTGGTCAGTGTTGCACATTCAAGTGGTTGGTGTTGTACATTCAAGTGGTCAGTGTTTTACATTCAAGTGGTCAGTGTTGTACATTCAAGTGGTCAGTGTTTTACATTCAAGTGGTCAGTGTTGTACATTCAAGTGGTCAGTGATGTACATTCAAGTGGTCAGTGTTGTACATTCAAGTGGTCAGTGTTTTACATTTAAGTGGTCAGTGTTGTACATTCAAGTGGTCAGTGTTGTACATTCAAGTGGTCAGTGTTCTACATTTAAGTGGTCAGTGCTGTACATTCAAGTGGTCAGTGTAGAACAAAAAAAGTATGTATATCTTCTTGATACTTTCAGGCCAGCACTTTCCAACAGGATTTTTTTTACCATTCTGTTGGTAGGCAGTAACTTATAACTAAGATCAATTCTTTTGGTAGGCAGTAACTTATAACTAAGATCCATTCTGTTGGTAGGCAGTAACTTATAACTAAGATCCATTCTGTTGGTAGGCAGTAACTTATAACTAAGATCAATTCTGTTGGTAGGCAGTAACTTATAACTAAGATCCATTCTGTTGGTAGGCAGTAACTTATAACTAAGATCCAAGCTTTTGGTTGTGTTCTAGCTCTGGCCAGCTGCACATGGTTAGTGTGGCAGAGAGTTTCCCCCTCAGCAATGATTAATAAACTCTGCTTTATCCTTACACGGCACAAATATTGAGTTCCATGGTGAGCATAGATTTAAGGTAAAACCCATGAAACTGTCCCTCTCATACCTGAACGACATTGTATCCCAGCATCTGTAGCTGACGGATCTTGGCCTGTGTCTTACCGATCATGTGCTCGCTGCGACAGCAATAATGATGGGGGTTCAGATATAAGATGGCGATTCTGAAGCAGAGATATGAAGTGGGAGAAATATGAGGGCCCGAATGTGGTGGATCAAGAATTTTGAGGTAGTTATGAGCCTTCATTTATCATGAATTAAGATTAAGTGAAAATATATATATTTTTTTTTTAAACAACAGTTTTTGAAATCTAGCTTGATTCACAGTAGGGAAACAAAGTGTATTGGTGGTAAGCAAAATGCATCAGTATTCAATCTCAACCCACTAAGAAATAGATCAAGGATCAAAGCTTGCCTTTCAACATCTGTCCCTTCTTCAATCTTGGCCTCCACGTCTTCAGGCAGCACCAAAGAGACATGTGACTCCACGTACATTAATGCGTCTGTGGACAAATTCAGTTTAAAGCATATAGTTTTGTTTCATCTCCCACTGAAACGACTCATCTATATATATAAAAATGAATGTTTGTATGTCTGTCTGTATGTCTCGTATGCGTTCCTACACCATTCATGCGACAAAACTTTAAACAGTTGTTTTCCACATAACCAGCCATTTAACTAAGACATTAAAAATCTTATCAAGTGTTCTGTTCCTAGCCGTTAGCCCTTAATTTGTTTTTTTTCTTATATGAGCTTTGTAAAAATATTTTCCACATGCGCTCCTACGCCATTTATCCGATTCATATAAAACTTTGGTAAAATGTTGCGAGCATGTTCATAAACATTTCTAAAATATTACAATTGTTTTAAAATATTCAGTTTTTAGCCAGGGGCCTCATATTCGTTTTTCCTTATATGAGCTATATAAATATATTTTCAAACCGTATGCGCTCCTACACCAATCATGCGATTGCTACAAAACTTAGTGAGTTGTTGTCCATGCACAAATGCATTTTACTGTATTATTTAAACACTTTTAAAAATATTCCGTTTTCGGCCGTTGGCCCTTAATTCGTATTTTTCCTTATATGAGCTTTGTAAAAAATAATGTTCATATGCGCTCCTACGCCATTTTTCCGATTCCGATAAAACTTTGGTGAGATGTTGCAAGTATGTCCATAAAGGTTTCTAAATTATTACAACCGTTTTAAATTTTTCAGTTTTGAGCCAGGGGCCTCATATTCGTTTTTCCTTATATGAGCTATATAAATATATTTTCAAACCGTATGCGCTCCTACACCAATCATGCGATTGCTACAAAACTTAGTAAGTTGTTGTCCATGCGCCAGTTCATTTTACTGTGTTATTTAAACACTTTTAAAAACATTCTGTTTTCGGCCGTTGGCCCTTAATTCGTATTTTTTCTTATATGAGCTTTGTAAAAAATAATTTTCATATGCGCTCCTACGCCATTTATTCGATTGCAATAAAACTTAAAACTTTGGTGAGATGTTGGAAGCGCGGCCGCAAAGGTTTTTAAATTATTATAAACTTTTCAAAATATTCCAATTTTAGCCAGCGGCCTTATTTACGTTTTTTTCTTATACGAGCTATATAAATATAATTTCAAACCGTATGCGCTCGACGTGGTAAGTGCGCATTGCGACAAAACTTTGACGAGTTGTTATCTATAAACATAACCATTCATTGACCCAAATTCTTATTTTTTCTTATATGCGCTTTGTAAAAAATAATTTTCTATGCGCTCCTATACCATTTTTCAGAATGCGATAAAAATTTAGTGAGATGTTGTTCTATCGCCCACAAAAATTCTTAAATTACTACAACCGTTTTAAAATATTCAGTGTTGAGCCAGGTGCCCTATGTTTGTTTCTTACAAAATGAGCTATATAAATATAATTTCAAACCGCATGCGCTCCTACATCATTCAAGCGCTTGCGATAAAACTGAGGTGAGTTGTTGTCCAAGAGCCAGAGCATTTTTCTAAGCCATTATAACTCTACTAAAATATTCCTTGAACAAATGACACATTTGTAGTAAAGCAGAGAAAACACGTTTTTACATTTTTAGTGTAGAGAGTATTTTTGTTATATGTATAAATATGCTTGAATTTTGTGACGCATTTTAGAATCGGAAATGACATCGAAATCGCGTTTTTTTTTTTAACTAAGAGTATTTCTTGAATAGAGTCTTATAATTTCGGAGTTGTTTTGTGTTATGTAAATACATTTTACACCAATCGATGGTTTCTCAAGTAATTAAATAACACACTTTACAGCGTAGATATTGAACTATGGTCATTTTTTACCGCTGGAATTTACGATTTATAAATTAATGAGAAACTATACAACTGGAAATCTCCTGCCAACAATGAACGTACCTATTGTGCGAGGTTTTCATGTAAAAAGATGGGAGATCCTAACGTGTGAGAATTACATTCACCATCAAAACCATTATCATTGTTGGTATCAGGTGACAATAGCCAATCGAAACATTTCTTGGCAAACATACGCAAATGCAATTCATGTTTCCAAATGACATCGTTCGGTGCAACAAATATCGTGCGCGAGAATTACATGCCAACATTTAAAGTAAAGTGAAAGGCCAAATTTACCATCGTGTAGGATCTCTGATGCCAATGCCAAACACAGATCACAAATGTCTTCAAATGATTTCATGGGGAATACTGATGAGCAAATCGATCAACGTTGTCATATCAATACGGGCACTAAACGAGAAATCGTCGCTGCAATGCAAACGTTATTTTTGCAACACAACGAATTAATTCAAATGTATAGAGTTGCACTTGAAAAGATGCCGACTGATGAATACAAAGTCATAGTTAGAGCAGACTAAACACCTGTCGGCCAACATGAAAGACAATACAATGCACCAACAATTGATGAAGTGGCGATCATTATAGTTGGCAAAGAATTTAACTCAAGTGATATAATTCTTCATCGCAGAAGTGTTGATGTTCAGCGAGTCTCAGAAACTCATCGCTCATACGTTTGATTGCAATATCCTATTTTATTTTGGCAAGGAGAAGATGGATATCATTTTGACATCAAATTGAGAAATTCGAATAAGAAAGACAGTGCCATGAAATACTATTCATATCGATTGATGATTCATGAGTTGGGAATGACCTCTCGGAATCGATCTGCAAACAAACTTTTCGCTCTTGATTTGCAACGAGAAACGCACTTTGATATCGAAGCATTAGGTACGGTACATTTTTTCAAATGAATCTTCCGAAATTGGTTCCATTGAAGTTACTATTTTAAATGGAAAATTTAAACTAGGTGATGTACTTTTGCCATTCACCCCAATGATTCCAACAGATATGCCATTTGAATTCAAACGCCTACAGTTTCCGATGCGACACGCGTCTACAATGACTATCTACAAAGCACAGGGACAATCGCTACAAGTTTGCGGACTAAATTTGGAAAACCCATGCTTCGCCCATGGACAGATGTATGTGGCCTGCTCTCGCGTCGGAAAATCTTCTGATTTATTCGTGTATATACCAGATGGAAAAACAAGAAAAATTTTGAGTATTTAAAAGCTCTTGAAGAAACATAACATGCAAACACTTTCTTTCCTTGAGTGGCATTGCAAAATGAATTTAATGTAAAATTATTTCTCAAAAGGAAAAGAAACAAATTGGTGTCAAATGAAATGGAAATTAGAGACTACTTAAAATTCCTTAATCTACAAACCTATTCTGTGGTTGTATGGACTTTTGGCATTGGACTGGACAAATTTGGAAGTTCCACAGAGCCGCCCTAAACTGGAGTTGATTTTTACTGTGCCAGTATTGGGGATTCTTGGATAACCTACAAAGATTGTCATTTGATTAGGATACAGCAGACTCTGCCTAAGCAATTCAGGAATCATATGGTACAGGCTGCAATCAAGTTGTTAAATAATGAAACACATAGCACCTGATGCTACATCAAGGCTTGATAAAAATAAAACACTTGGCCAAAAGCCAGCTTCAGCAAAGCAACAGAAATGAAATGACAACTAAAAACAAACTAACTTCTCAGACTAGGTGCATTCGCAGACCTGTTTACCCTCAAACCCTTAAAATCGTACAATATCATCATATAATCGTTCAATACATTCTCTTTATAGAGCAAAGACGTGCTGCATATATAATGTATACCTCAAAATCGTACATTGTACGCCAAAATCGTAAGAGTAAACAGGTCTGCATTCGTTCTTGCTACACTTTTTAAGTTTAGCTTTGAATTTTTTTACTTTTCATATTTTGTTTGCTGATAAAGGCTTTGCGCTGACAAATTTGTGTGTGTCTATGATCATATTTTCATATGTCCTGTGTGTCTATGATCACATTTTCATATGTCCTGTGTGTCTATGATCACATTTTCACTTGTCCTGTGTGTCTATGATCACATTTTCATGTCATGTGCGTCTATGATCGCATTTTCATATGTCCTGTGTGTCTATGATCATATTTTCATATGTCCTGTGTGTCTATGATCACATTTTCATATGTCTTGTGTGTCTATGATCACATTTTCATATGTTTTGTGTGTCTATGATCATATTTTCATATGTCATGTGTGTCTATAATCACATTTTCATAGTCCTGTGTGTCTATGATCACATTTTCATATGTCCTGTGCTTCTATGATCACATTTTAATACGTCCTGTTTGTCTATGATCACATTTTCATATGTCCTGTGTGTCTATGATCACATTTTCACTTGTCCTGTGTGTCTATCATCACATTTTCATGTCATGTGCGTCTATGATCGCATTTTCATATGTCCTGTGTGTCTATGATCATATTTTCATATGTCCTATGTGTCTATGATCACATTTTCATATGTCCTGTGTGTCTATGATCACATTTTCATATGTCTTGTGTGTCTATGATCACATTTTCATATGTTTTGTGTGTCTATGATCATATTTTCATATGTCATGTGTGTCTATAATCACATTTTCATATGTCCTGTGTGTCCATGATCACATGTTCATACGTCCTGTGTGTCTATGATCACATTTTCATATGTCTTGTGTGTCTATGATCACATTTTCATATGTCCCGTGTGTCTATGATCATATTTTCATATGTCCTGTGTGTCTATGATCACATTTTCACTTGTCCTGTGTGTCTATGATTACATTGTCATTTGTCTTGTGTGTCTATGATCACATTTTCATATGTTCTGTGTGTCTATGATCACATTTTCATATGTCCTGTGTGTCTATGATCACATTTTCATATGTCCTGTGTGTCTATGATAACATTTTCATATGTCCTGTGTGTCTATGATCACATTTTCACTTGTCCTGTGTGTCTATGATCACATTTTCACTTGTCCTGTGTGTCTATCATCACATTTTCATGTCATGTGCGTCTATGATCGCATTTTCATATGTCCTGTGTGTCTATGATCATATTTTCATATGTCCTATGTGTCTATGATCACATTTTCATATGTCCTGTGTGTCTATGATCACATTTTCATATGTCTTGTGTGTCTATGATCACATTTTCATATGTTTTGTGTGTCTATGATCATATTTTCATATGTCATGTGTGTCTATAATCACATTTTCATAGTCCTGTGTGTCTATGATCACATTTCCATATGTCCTGTGCTTCTATGATCACATTTTCATACGTCCTGTGTTTCTATGATCACATTTTCACATGTCCTGTGTGTCTATGATCACATTTTCATATGTCCTGTGTGTCTATGATCACATGTTCATATGTCCTGTGTGTCTATGATCACATTTTCATATGTCTTGTGTGTCTATGATCACATTTTCATATGTCCCGTGTGTCTATGATCATATTTTCATATGTCCTGTGTGTCTATGATCATATTTTCATATGTCCTGTGTGTCTATGATTACATTGTCATTTGTCTTGTGTGTCTATGATCACATTTTCATATGTCCTGTGTATCTATGATCACATTTTCATATGTCCTGTGTGTCTATGATCATACTTTCATATGTCCTGTGTGTCTATGATTACATTGTCATTTGTCTTGTGTGTCTATGATCACATTTTCATATGTTCTGTGTGTCTATGATCACATTTTCATATGTCTCGTGTGTCTATGATCACATTTTCATATGTCCTGTGTGTCTATGATCACATTTTCATATGTCCTGTCTGTCTGTGTTTACATTTTCATATGTCCTGTGTGTCTATGATCACATTTTCATATGTCCTGTCTGTCTGTATTCACATTTTCAAATGTCCTTTGTGTCTATGATCACATTTTCATATGTCCTGTGTGTCTATGATCACATTTTCATATGTCCTGTGTGTCTATGATCACATTTTCATATGTCCTGTTTGTCTATGATCACATTTTCATATGTCCTGTGTGTCTATGATCACATTTTCATATGTCCTGTGTGCCTATGATCACATTTTCATATGTCCTGTGTATCTATGATCACATTTTTGTTTGTCCTGTGTGTATATGATCACATTTTCATATGTCTTGTGTGTCTATGATCACATTTTCATATGTCCTGTGTGTCTATGATGACATTTTCATATGTCCTGTGTGTCTATGATCACATTTTCATATGTCCTGTGTGTCTATGATCACATTTTCATATGTCCTGTGTGTCTATGATCACATTTTCATATGTCCTGTGTGTCTATGATCACATTTTCATATGTCCTGTTTGTCTATGAAGTGTAAAAGTATACAGGACACACAGATACTAGTCATTTTCATATGTCCTGTGTGTCTATGATCACATTTTCATATGTCCTGTTTGTCTATGATCACATTTTCATATGTCCTGTGTGTCTATGATCATATTTTCATATGTCCTGTGTGTCTATGATCACATTTTCATATGTCCTGTGTGTCTATGATCACATTTTCATATGTCCTGTGCGTCTATGATCACATTTTCATATGTCCTGTGTGTCTATGATCACATTTTCATATGTCCTGTTTGTCTATGATCACATTTTCATATGTCCTGTGTGTCTATGATCATATTTTCATATGTCCTGTGTGTCTATGATCACATTTTCATATATCTTGTGCTTCCTAGCTCTTTAACATTTAAGCATAGTTCAAACAACAGGTCATTACTGTACCGGACGAAGGAAGACTATTTGTATGCCTAAAGAAAATAAACTCGTGTAGCTCTTCAAAGATTGATGAGGGAGAAACAAGTTATGTTACTCCAGGGCATTCAAATGCGATTCAGAGCTTACATCGTAAAAGGTTTTGTGTTTTATTGGTGATTTCATAAAAAGCCCACAACAGATGAATGAAGATTCACTAATTCTATGACCTTTAGACATACTAGGTTTGATGGAAATTGTAGTTCTATGACCTTTAAACATCTAACAGTAATGGGAATTGTAGATCTATGAACTTTAAACATCAAACAGTAACAGGAATGGTAGGTCTATGACCTTTAAACATCTAACAGTGATGGGAATTGTAGGTCTATGACCTTTTAAACATCTAACAGTAATAGGAGTTAAAAGAAAGCAATCATTCAGATGATAGGTAACCATGAAAATACCTGGGGAAAGCAGATTCTGACTCAACAAAGGCAATGTTAAATGCGGACACTCCAGGGAAACATTACGACTCAGCATTATCAGGTAGCTCTTCATTTCTTCCAGTTTGTGCTTAGGAAGCTCTGTGTTTTTGAGAAGGAATTCATTACAATAGGGAAACAAACACACGGGACCATGAAAAGGAATTAGTTACAATATGGAAAAAGACACACAGACCATGAAAAGGAATTAGTTACAATAGGGAAACAGACACGCAGATTATGAAAAGGAATTAGTTACAATAGGGAAACAGACACACAGGACCATGAAAAGGAATTAGTTACAATAGGGAAACAACACACAGACCTTGAAAAGGAATTAGTTACAATAGGGAAACAGACACACAGGACCATGAAAAGGAATTAGTTACAATAGGGAAACAGACACACAGGACCATGAAAAGGAATTAGTTACAATAGGGAAACAACACACAGACCATGAAAAGGAATTAGTTACAATAGGGAAACAGACACAGGACCATGAAAAGGAATTAGTTACAATAGGGAAACAGACACACAGGACCATGAAAAGGAATTAGTTACAATAGGGAAACAACACGCAGACCATGAAAAGGAATTAGTTACAATAGGGAAACAGACACACAGACCATGAAAAGGAATTAGTTACAATAGGGAAACAGACACACAGGACCATGAGAAGGAATTCGTTACAATAGGGAAACAGACATACAGACCATGAGAAGGAATTAGTTACAATAGGGAAACAGACACACAGGACCATGAGAAGGAATTAGTTACAATAGGGAAACAGACACACAGGACCATGAGAAGGAATTAGTTACAAAAGGGAAACAAACACACTGGACCATGAGAAGGAATTTGTTACAATAGGGAAACAGACATACAGACCATGAGAAGGAATTGGTTACAATAGGGAAACAGACATACAGACCATGAGAAGGGATTGGTTACAATAGGGAAACAGACACACAGGACCATGAGAAGGAATTCGTTACAATAGGGAAACAGACATACAGACCATGAGAAGGAATTAGTTACAATAGGGAAACAGACACAGGACCATCATTTGAAACAACAATTTTATCAGCGATTTGTGCATTTTTTTTTACTAGAGTATAAATACTGTTTCTTAAACTTAACACAAAATATTATATAATTTTTTCACCTCATGCTGAACCCTGACAACACAAAAAAATAACTCAAATGGATTTAAAAATACAAAGTACTGTTTCAAATTATTAAATTGATTTTTTTTTTTGTAACAAAGTGATAATTAAATTTCTTTTTGGTTAGGCCTAAATTTGCAACTTTTTAAAAAATTAGTAAAAATTATTTTTTGTTTTCTTTTAAAATGTCTGTACATTTCTATACTGTGGCACAATACATTTTACATGTGGCCATCTTTAAATTAGATTTTGAAACTAGTGGTAAACCTATCTTCCTAAACCAGTTGCCTTTGTAGCCCTGACCTGAAATTTCTCTTTCGAAAGCCAAAATGAAATCTAAAGTAAAAATCTTGCTGAGGACTTCATCAAAATAAATCCCCAGTAGAGATAAGGCAAACATCATTTCCACCTGTGGAAAAATTTTAAAAATACCGGACTGAATATTAATTATGACTTAAACTCTCTAAATTTTACATTAATGCATGTAATTTATATTGGAAAATGTAATTATAAGATATCTTTTTAATTTCAATGGAGGGTGAAATCATTTTAAACAAGATGTTTCTATAAGAATAGTACAACTCAAACCAATTTAGTTCAACATATCACAAAGTAAAAGAGGTACAATTTTTAATATTAAATATACATCAGTTAATCATTTCAGCTATTAATTAAAAAACAATTATTTAAAAAATTCAGGATATGAGACTTTACTTTGAAGCGATTCTCTAGAATATCCTTATGCATCATTTCAGCCATCAGATTTTGGGCCCAGGTGATGAAGGAATCGGCATTATTGGGCATATAGCCAGAGTGCGATAGAGCCTTTACCAATTGCAAGCTGGCATAAAACAAAGGCTTGGGACGGAGCATCAGAAAACTGACCAGATTTTCATAAGTTTCACTCTGTCGATAAAAAAACAACTACACATGATTTTCAGGTGAAGCTTTTATGATTTAAAATAGGTGTGAAATTCAATTATTGTAATTATTGCCTCTGTTTAGATCGTTAGTGGCTCTCTATAAGGAAAAAAAAAATGTGTTCTTTTAACTTTAAGGGCTTCTTTTTAAACTTAAACTACTTATAGCAAAGTAAAAAGCCACACTCTTAAAATTAAAACAGAAACAACAGAGCTTTTATCTACTAAAAGAATGTTCCCACTGTGAAGTCACCTGGTACACTGGGAATATAACAGTGGATAACTCCAAGATCCTCAACGCCCGCAGACAGTTGACCTCCTCCTTATCTGCTGTCAACCTTGGCAGGCTGTCCAGAAGCGGCTCCACAAGACCCATTCTGCAATCATGTGCCTTGTAGCGTGGCAAGATTTTTATGTGACTTAAAGTTGGACTCAGAGTCCTGGTTTGGGATATTCTTTCAGTGAAAATTTCCAAAAGTCTACTCCGAAGTACAACTGCTTGCTGTTTCACAGACTTTTTCAGATATTTCTGTAGAAAAAAAACAAGGAAATGAATGGGGGGAAGCAAACAAAAATTTTAATCACTTTACTGACGTGACGGATAATCATGTAGAATTAAAGAATATTGGGACCATGAAATAGTACTTCACAAATATTTTTATAGCACAACAAGAAATTACCTATCCAAATAACAGAAATGGAAATTTCTCTTAACCATGCACATGTATGAAATTTTTAAAATGTATATTTATTTTTAAATATATTTTTAAAAAATGACTTTTAGGAATAAAATACAAATTGCATTGGCTCAAATATCACACAAAATCTTCTCTACACCCCTCAATTATTTCACTTACTGAGGGTTATACTTTTGGGAGCCACTGACTCAAAACGTTCCTTTACTTAACTGTTTCACCCAGCCTAATGTATGGTAAACATATCAGTTTAGTGTCAAAAAAAAATGTTCTGTTACGCAAGAGAAAAACACTGCTGATTTAAAATGATGTCACAAAGCATCCTTGCATTCTAAGTTGGTAACTACATTATGGCTGGTGGTTAAATGTAAAAAAATTTGCATGAAGTTTTGAAAGTCGGTAAATGAATGTTGTTTCTATACTAAATAAAAGTCATCATCATCAATGGAGCTGTATCTGTAACCCATGTAGGGTTCTGGCTTGCCCCGCCACTATCTTCCATTCAGACTGATCCATGGCTTTACGTTTCCAGGCATGAACCCTAAACTGATATACATCTCCCCATCATCAATCAATTCGATGCCAAACTCATGAAATGTTATTTGTCTGCAGCAACATTTAGCAATCTATTCCGTAAAGTTGCAGATATATCTGAAGCTACATCATTGTCTCACAGAAATTTACTGATGCCAACTATCGATCAATTAAGGCACATTAGCAAAAAAACTGGCTGTGCTTACCATTCATTAAATTTTAAACAAAACAATGTGTTATTATTTCATTATGGTTTTAAAAGCAATACCTTACAACACATATCTAACAGAAATTCTCTCATCAATTTTTAAATATTTGATCAGTTAATTTAATGTTATTTATAACTTTTAATATTTTTATATGCACTTAAATCGATTTTCAAATTTCCTGTAAATTTTTTAATTTGGCTCATCACTAACATGAATCAAATTTAGCCAGCAACAAAAACCAGTGTCCAGAGATCATAACAAATCCATTCCTATTATCTCATGTTACAAACAGAGTTTCTTTCAGCCATCTCTCTTGTCATTTTTAAACTGTTTTAAAAAACATAGAAACTGGTGCCTTTGACTGATTGCAATAAGGGGAATCTATAAAATATCGCAAGGCTAAATATATTTTATGATCCGTATATTTAAGGCTAATCTTGTTATAGTATTTGGTTATAAATATCGTACTGGCCACCAATGTTCCCTCTAAGGTTTTTTGGTTCGAATGCAAAATCATACAGCTGTGTGCAAAGTTTTACAGCATCAATTTTTTTTGTGTGCAACATTTTACAGCCCACTAACACAAACACACACTTACATGGAAATTTGCTGCGCGGATACTCAAAACTGCTGCACGGCGTCTGTTACATGACTTTTAAAGTAGGGATAGGTGTTAAGTATAAATTTTAAGATGGCATCATATTTTTTTTCTAATTTAGAATATAAAGGGCGCATTCAAATAGTGCATGTTTCATCAATTATTATTAAATTGAAAGTGTTTTTGTTTTCTTTAAATGTGCTACCTTTGTTAAAAAGTTTCCTGAATAACAGATTTGTTTGTTTTTTTAAAACCTATATTTATTATTTTTAACTTCCCAACGGTTTTCTCTTTTTAAAGTCAGAATAATAAACAAACTGCCCCATTCTTTTGCACTAATTTTTTATGTTATAAATTTTATTTTAGATGAAATTCCAGTAGAAAGCTAAGAAAAAAAGTTTTTGTGAACTCGCATTTGGATTATCATGCCAATTCCATTTTTTGATACTAATTTTAGAAAAAATTCTTTTGCTAATTCATTAATTAAAAATAGATTCTGTGAATTTAGTTAAAAATATTTTAAAGAGGCAATTTGTAATTTATCTGAAGAAAGGTATAGTAGTTTGAATTCCAAATAAAAATTTAAATCTACTAAATATTGGAAATTTATACTTTATTTACATACGATTTCCCTTAGACGAAATCACACATTAATAAATATATACTGTCTTTTTAAAATATTTAGACTATGGCGTTCATATACGATTTATAAAAATGACCAGTTTTCAAAACCCATAAAATGTATAGACCTTTCTAATTTACAGGTTTTTTTTCCTTTTGACTGGTAAAATTTGGAAATAATTAGAAAAGGTCTAATTATTATAAGTAAGTTTTTTTTTCTCCACTTGCATTCAGCATATAAAATAGTTTAAGATGTTTTTGATAATTATTATGGTTAATTTTGGCACTTCCTACCTGAAAGTTTGAAATGCCACCTCAAAATTGTCTGAGAAAAACTACAAATTCAAGTACCCGGTATGCCACAAAATGATTGTCTATAGCACCCTAAATTTCTGTACCCCCTTCCCTCATGCTGATCAATGTTATAGTATGGGGTTGATTATACGCCTGTGCCAAATGATTACCCTGAGGAATGCCACAACCGGATTGAAGTCAGTTTATGTTTGGTACTGGCAACATATTGCCTCCCACAAAACCTTAAAATGTCCCAGAAACATTGAATTCAAGTATACTCAAAAATACACCTCTTGTATTTGAAATAATCAAACATTTTCTGTTCCTGCTCCCCAGACCCCACACCTATCTAGATTCATTGGGGCCCACAATTTCCGCCTCATTTCCTGAAGAAATAGACACTATTAGCAGACCTGTTTACTCTTACGATTTTGGCGTACAATGTACGATTTTGAGGTGTATACATTATATATACTGTACGTTTATTTTTTACTATTAAGATAATGTATTAAATGATTTTGTGATGATATTGTACGTTTTTAAGAGTTTGAGGGTAAACAGGTCTGTATTAGTGCCGCCATAGATGGCCAAATATTTTTGCTATCCTCCCTTTCACGATTCAAACTCTGCAGTTTTCCAAAAATGCCATACCTGCATAAGAAGAAAAACTGACACCTGGGATGGACCACCCCACCCCCCTTATTTCTATGCCACTAGCAGGGGTGTATCTAGAGTGTTTTGCATCAGGGGTTAAACCCTCCCCGCCCCCTCATCTCTGAAACCACTTATATTCAACCATTAAATACCATCAAAGCCCATTTTGGCCCCCCTACGCTAGTCTGGTGCCCCAGGACATAAGTCACATCTGCCACCCCTTAGCTATGCCTCTGGCACTGCCACCCCCCCCCCTAAATTTGAAATGCCTCCCCGTGGAAAAATGACTGAACGAAACACTGATTACAACTGTGCTTAAGTCGACCTACTCCTGCATTGCAAGTAAGATATGAATGCATAAAACTGTTTGCTCAAGGGCAGATTACTTACAGTGAGCATAATGTCTTCAATGTTTCTGTACAACTGCATCAGTTCATGTGAGTCCAGACACCCTACAGTTTTCAGTAAAGATGTCAGTTCTTGATGTTCTACCCTGCTGTCAGCCTTCAGCACGTCCAGTGCATCCACTATTTTCATTTGGACCTTCCAACTTGGCTGATACCATTTCCCCATGCCCAGGTTTGTAAGGTTTGAGGTGAATTTCAATAAAGATGCATTTAAGCTAATGTCAGATGCTGAAATCTGTAAGGAAAAAATTATTTCAAAGTTCAAACTCAGTAAAAAAATATATTTTTTAAGTCTCCTCTTTTTTTCTTCTTTTTTTTTTAAAAAATTCATAACAAAATGAACAAGTGTCCAGGGCCAGGAAAAACAGTTTGATGTTTTATTTCACATGTGGCCAGCTTTTACAAAGAGATTTCTGACAAAAAACAGATGTTCAGAGCCAAATGTGCTTATTTAAAATAAGGATTCAGTATCAATGCACCTTCAATAATAGCTATGGAGCAGTATGGTTGTGTTTTTTTTACATAAAAAAACATTAACATTCACTGCACTAGAGACTTCAGCATTAAGTTTTGAGTTATCCAAGGAGAGAGGTTAATGCTGGAGTTTTTAAATTCTTCATAGTAAAAAATTACAGAACTCACTCATTTTATTTTTATAATTCTAAAAAAATGTAATGACTGTTTTTTTCTTCTTCATTTCCCCATTGCATTAATAACAGTTGCAAATAAGTTAAATAGGATTATTTTTAGAAAAGTAACAGAATAGATCACCGGAATCACTCACTGATTTTTCAATATAAAAATTAAAAATTCTAGAGCTCATATTTTCATCTTTAAAAAAGAAAGAAAAGCTTTCCCTCAAATGTTCAAAACATTTTTGTAAAATTTTATTTGGGCAAAATCGATAATCATAAGACCATAATAAGCATATACATATATATTAACAATAAAAGCAAGATTGAAAAGTTGCTTGGGGACTTATCTTACATATTTTTACTTAGACAGTTTGGGGACTGTTTCTGAGACTGGACACAAAAACTCACCCTCCTTAAAAACTGATATATGAGATAGGCTGTCTCGCCTTTATCCTGCCACAGTAATTCCTCTAATTGTTGCTCATTCAGCTGTGTGACAAGCTTGACCAATCTTTCATGGTATGCTTCCATCAAGAATTTATTGGCTGGCCAACATATAATATCATGTTTCATCATCTGAAGAGGTCATATGCATAGTTATTTACATCTAGGAACAAGTAAAAGTAAAAAAATTAAGTTTTTGTCATATCCATCAATTTTTTATTCTTGATAATTTTTAAGACAAGGTACAACTTAGTACAAGTGTGATCATGTTAACTTGAGCCTTCATCAAAGCATCAAAATAGATTATTTTTGTTAGCTCAGGTGGGTGCCCAATAATAGCGGTTATCCGGGCTTGACGGGTGGGGTTACTCTGGGAAGGGCATTATGAACTTATGACTGGATGGCCCACTGAGTTTTATTCCTAATGTAGATTAGATTAGCTCAAATCAAATTAAGCTTCTCTTTTCATTGAAACCATTTCATCAAAGAAGTCAAAATATTGGAGAAGAAATTGGAAACCACTAATGGATCATTTTAAAAAAAATCACATTTTGATACATTTAAATGCTTACTTAGTCTTACTCCAAATCTTGAGCACTTCATTTGATAGGTTCAAAATGATCTAAAGAGCTTAATTCCACCAAAATTCATGGCACTTATGAATCTCTAAATACTGAATGAGACTCCAGTTAAACGGGGAGAATAACTTGTTTTGCAGGCCTGATAGTTTTTTATTTGAGGACCTCTTATGAAATATGGTGAGCAGACTTTTGCGCATGGTTGAAATAAAGGATGTAATTTGATTACATTAAAGATTGGGATGGCTACATGAATAAGTATGGTCAAATAAATTGAAATACTAATTAATAAACCAGACACTGTCCCCTGGTGCTATTTCAAAACTTGTCCACTGGTCCGCCAATTTTAAAAGTTTGGAAACCACTGCTCTAAAACATAATAGGAGGTGGTTGAACATATTTGTTTTAGAATGATTTTAATCCTTACCTCTATTAGAAGAAAATTATCAGATTTTTTTATAGACTTCTTGAGGATTTCTTGTATTTTGTCTGAGTAACTCACAAAATTATAAGAGCTTCCTAAGGTAAGTTTAACAACCGCTTCAGCAGACAAATTTGAACCTGAGAGAAGCTCTTTGTTACACATATGTCTTACACCGTGAAGCACTGGACACAACCACAGTTTACCATTCATAGTGCAGGCTAAGTCAAAAGTCAAAGATGATACGTTAAAGTCTATGTGCTGCAGGCAGTGAGAAGGGAAATTCAGAATGCCATTCACCAAGATTTCCAAACATACATTGTCTGAAATTGCAGCAAACAGACATGTTTGACTTATCATGTCAAGCGTTATTTTATCAGGTTCATTCTCCATTCTAGTTAACATTTTTCTTGCGCACAGGAGGAACAGGTCAGTACTAACAACATATTTAATATTTCTAAATATTTCACAAATATCAGCAAAGTCCAGGTCTGGTTTGTCTTGAGCTGTTAGTAAACATTTTGTAGCATCTGCTATTTTCCCCATTACTTGCAAGTCAGGTGGATGGGACTGGAGACAGTGAGATAATTGTGCCAGTTGATGAAGGCTCATATTGGCCACACTGTCAGAACACTTGCTGTAAAGCTGCTGGACCACAGGAAAATCAAAGGTGACCTCCAGATACTCTAAAGCTTTCAAAATGAGAAGACATTCATCAAGTGCCATATGTGGTACAAAATTTTCCAAAGCAGTCAGGAGTTGTTGAAACCTTTGATCTTGTGTGTAGGGTCTGAGAAGTTGATCACTCTGAAAATTCATTTTCAATTGCTTTCTTATTAAATGATCCTCATCCAGTAACCAGGGTTGAGATAAATTGGCGTAAACTGTGGTCTGAAATTTAGTAAAAAGAGAGGGAAGGTGATGCTTTTGAAGGTTTCCATCGGCTAATATGATACCTGTTTGTTTGAGAATTTCATCTGCTGTGGCACAATTGCTTAATGTTTTTAAAAACTCATCCCTCTGTTTTGACTCTTTGATGGCGTAAGTTTGAGGAGTGCAATTTAAATATTTTGAGGATGTTGATGCAAAGCGAAAACAGTGTTTTGTCCTATATCCATCACAATGCAAATTTTTTTTCTCCCCTTGACTATTTGAAAAAAGGTATCTCCTGGAATATTTTGACGTAAGTGAGGATGATAGGTTGAATAATGACCATGTATTATAAACAACTCCAGGTACTTGTTTTATACTATTTTCAGAAGGAGGTAAAGTATATCTTTGCTTTTTAATTTGAATATCTTGAGTACATTTTTTTGCATCTTTTATATCAACTGCTGTAGCTAAACCATTGCTTTTAAGGAAAGCCACCACTGGGAACTTTTCCAAAAGTCCTACTTCAAGCTGCTGTTGATGCAGAGAATTTGATATTTTTGAAGGGAACAGTAAAGCTGGGCTTTTTGCATTTCTAAGCATCTTGAAAAAATAGTTAAAATTACTACTTGACTGTCAACTGTGTCTTGTTAACTTCTTCATTTCATTCTGTAATTAATCAAGTAAAATAAAACTTTTAGTTACCAGTGCAATAATAAAATATAATGTGACAAATGTTAGCACTTAGCTTGGACCTATGTTGCTTCACAGTTACATCACATTGCAAGTAAAAAATGTTTAGTTGAAAATAAACTAATTTATAATAATTATTCAAAAGGCAGTGAAGGCATAATATGGGCCTAAAATAGGCTTTTATAAATAGTATGCCTAATTAATATTATTGTATTGAGAAATAATAGTTTTTAAAAAAGGGAGAAATTAGTTTAGTTATGTAACTAAATTATAGTCTATCTCAGTGCTGGGCAACCTGCTGTCGCCTGAAATGTATAAAATAGCCTGCAAGACCTTCAGAGAATAGTTTAATGTTTTAGTAAAGTGTACAAATTGTGAAGGATTATCTTTAAAAGAAATTACTTTAAAACTTATAATCAGTGTAAAATTTTCAAATTAATAATAATAATCAAAGCCAATTCTAAAATTATTCCATTACTTGGATTTGGTTTATTTGCAAAATGAACTCGAAAATAATTTTCAAAGCCTCTCTTTAACGATGAATAAGAGCCGTTCATAAATGTCACACATCTAGAGGGGTGGGGTTTACATTTTTGTGATGTGTGACAAGGGCAGGGCTGTTAAGCGATGTGAAGTAACATTAACAGCGGAACATTATAGTAAAAAAATGCACGCAATGAAATTTAATTACAGAAATTTTTTTAATTATTATTGTATACAACAATTATTTTAAATTTAAACTACAATCAAAGAGATAATCAGTACAGGTATGCTAGGTCCAAAAAATGGTCTTTGATCAAGTTATAGGCCACCACGGAGTAGGAGAATTAGGGTGTAGTGACACTGACAGACATTAGCATTTATGTTGAAATGTGAGGACAGGAGTAATAAAATTAGGACTACCAGGGGAAGGATAAAAGTAAAAGACTAGGTCTATTTGTAGGAATAATGTATAGATTAGATTACTCACTGTAACATAAGATATATTTATAAGTAATTAAGTCAAGTAAATAGAAATTTAATAGGAGATGGAGCATGGTTTCTTTCAATTTAAAATAACTGGGCCAACATTCCTAAGCCGGCTAATGTGAAGAGATAGCACCCTGACATCATTTACGTGTTTTGTCCCTGGTTCTAATAGGGTCAAAATCCTGGTTCCGATAAGGTCAAAACTCAGGTTAGGGATAAGTTTAGGACACACTTCACCATGCATAATGCATGGTTAAAAAAAAATGCGGTGCTATCTCTTCACATTTACTCCTAGCCTAAGGCAAGAGTAGTGTTACTCTTCTCATTCTTAATTCATCTATTACTTATTAGAGCACTTAGACGACTTACACTTAGACTTTAAAAAAAGTAAAAGTAAAAGCGGTGTCTAAGCTTAAGCGGCTAAGCTTGCCCTTCTTTATTTGCCTTCTTAGTTAGTTTGTTACTTTAACTTAAGTTAGACCCGCATAATTAAATAGTGGTACATTTTTAATTTTTCTCTATTGATCTTTGCATTCTCTACACACGTCTAACAACATAGTTAACAGTGTCTTTTTTAAATCACATGTCCTAACACTTCTTTGAAAGATTCCCTTAAAAGTTATTCGTGTTTCGGTTAATGTACGTCTTGTTTTTTAATAGTTCGTTTTTTGACAGGTCGGTGTCGTGTCTGACTAGGATCTCCAATATAATAAAACATGTTAAAATATAATAAAATAAGTGCCAACGTTTATAAATTAAATAATAAAAATTGTTATTGTTTTAATTGCTGAAAAAGTATTGACGGTTGGGAATATGAAGAAGAGAAATAAATAGGTATTATTCTGATTATGAAATGAAAGTTTTTACTTTCATTTGAAAATTAGTCAATAGTAAATTATCGAACGTTTGTCATTCACATTTTAATACAAGTAGGCCTACAAGAGTTAATTGAAAATAATAGGATGACAAGTCCAGGCTCTCCATGATGTACAAGATAAAAAACAATGGGCTGATCAACTGCTTCAGCATTAAACTTAAACAGAAACTCGCCCTTCTGCCCCCTAAAAACAAGAACTCAGTACAGGAGCTATTCATTCCTGCCAAAGACAGTAAGGGACTGAAACAAGCTTCCAAAAGCAACAGTTGAGGCGATTACGCTTGACACATTTGCGTATATTGCCTCCTGTCTTTCAACTCCTAGTTCATAATATCATTGCTGAGTTGCCCTTTCAAGCAGTGAAGTATCCCCTTCAAAACTATGCACAGTTACATCGCGAACTCCCCTGAAACATAGGAGCCAGAATGATCAATTCATTGATCATGGGCCCTCAAAATAAAGAAGAAGAGCTAAGTAATTTTATTTTTAGCCGTAGTAGTATCATTCCATGACCCTGTAAAATACTATCTGGGGCACATTTTTGAGTACAACAATGTTTAAATGGTTTAAGTGTATATTAAAAGAAAATATGACGATATAATAGCATTCCCCCCTCCACTATTCCCGTGGGAGGTCGATTTTAAAAAAATGTGTATCAGTTTGGATCAGGGGTCCAGATCCCGCCCACATTTGGTCCTCAACTCACCCCTCTGGCCCCATTGTTTGGTTACCCGGATGGCAGTGACAAACAAAGAAATGGACATTGCCATCTTAGCTAAGAGCATGTCCATACTTAACATCGCAATAATAATAAATATGTTTCAGTAAAATTGTTCTTCATATATAAAATATTGTATTGATTTTTCCCTGTTTTCCCACTTCAAATAAGATATGTTCAGTGCGAAGAAGAGGTCGTTAATACATTTTCCAAATATAGTCCAGCCAGGGGCGCCCGCAGAAAACTTTCTGGGGGGGGGGGGGATCGATGAACTTGCCGGGGGGGGGGGGCACAAATTNGCGGGGGGGGGGGGGCACAAAATTTTTAGTAATGTTTAAATGTAGTTTTAATTTACTGTAGCGCATTTGTATGGTGAACCAACGGACAGGACATCAGCTTAGTTACTTTCTCTTTATTTTCTCTTTACTTTAATACATTTTTTGTCTATTTTTGTCTAAAAAATGTTTATCCAATCAATCCAGGTGGGGCAAGTGCCCCACCTTGCCCGCCCTGCTGGCGCCCATGAGTCCAGCCCCCAAGTCTCTAAGGTACTGGGAACCAGCCCCACAATCGTCTGAAAGACAGTGAATCATTCCCGTGATTAAAAAAAAAAAAGTTTTAGAACCCCTCTTGTAAAGGAGTCTACCACTTTTAGTTTGTGTTTACCTCAATATATGCCTCTACGGTGTTTAAATGGTGACAAGGACTTCTTACAAAAACCGCCGGCAGCCCTTTTCCCCAGAAAATCTCTTTACCAAGAAATTGATTGCCACAACTTTCTACACAGGTAAACAGTCATGCGCACATATTGTTATCAACAAACCAACAATTAGTGGTGGCATATTATCTCCTTCCATTTTATGATCACAATTCCTACTTTCTTCTGGTAAGTCGGATTTCGTTATTTTTTTAAAAAAGTATTTACATGTTGGCAAAAATCATTAATATTGATTTTGTGATGGCATTGTGGCCGTAAGCTGGAATATTATAATGCTTCCAATAGCTTCTGCACTTTGCCACCAGAATGGCTTTCAAAGGCTTCTTTATTTGATTGCCGGTAAATGTCATGTTAAATTGTTGAGGATTACATAAGGTCCGAGGATAACATTAGAAAAAAAGAAGAAAGTAAAAAAAAAAAAAATCATAGTGAATTATGAAACTCATTCATGTCTTGCTATATCAGTGATCGGAGTGATATTATGTGATCAATTTAATAATGTTGCATTATATTTATATAAAAATCTATTTATGAATGGTTCACCTTTACCCCATTATGCATCGCTAAATAATTTACGTTTAAATGTTTTGGATTCCGGGTCGCGTGTCATTTTACTTCTATAAAATGGGGTTGCAGGTCACTGCTATAGACTTGTGTCACAGTTCACTTTATTTCTATAAAATGGGTTCACAAGTCACTTTACTTCTATAAAATGGGGCCGCAGGTAACTTTACTTCTATAAAATGGGGTCGCAGGTCACTTTACTTCTATAAAATGGGTTCACAAGTCACTTTACTTCTATAAAATGGGGTCGCAGGTCACTTTACTTCTATAAAATGGGGTCGCAGGTCACTTTACTTCTATAAAATGGGGTCGCAGGTCATTTTACTTCTATTGAATGGGGTCGAGGGTCACTTTACTTCTATAAAATGGGGTCGCAGGTAACTTTACTTCTATAAAATGGGGTCGCAGGTCACTTTACTTCTATAAAATGGGTTCACAAGTCACTTTACTTCTATAAAATGGGGTCGCAGGTCACTTTACTTCTATAAAATGGGGTCGCAGGTCACTTTACTTCTATAAAATGGGGTCGCAGGTCATTTTACTTCTATTGAATGGGGTCGAGGGTAACTTTACGTCTATAAAATGGGGTCATGTCTCTTTATTAGATTTAGGAGCAATCTATGTATTTTAGCCTAAATGAAATAAGGTTATGAAGGAGATTCGTCATCCAGTAATGGAGATAAGTTTACTTCATTTTTGAAAATATCCCAAATAAGATCGTACGGGGAAAGATTATGAAATGATCCCATGAAACGTGAAACACAGGCATGAGGGCAGAAAGTGTGTCGAGGGGGCGATCTCAGTGGCGTAGCGAGAAATTGTGACGCCCGGCTGGACTTTGCCGCCCCCTCCCTTCCACCCCCACAATAAATGCCACATAAGAAAACTATACATTATAATGTTGTTTTTTTTTGGAACAGTGAAAATTAGAAATAACAAAACTTGAAATAGCGCCGTCCTGGAATATGCACTCAGTCGGAACAGAACGTTTGGTGTGTGTGTCTGTGGGGGGGGGGGGATGAGGGGGGATCAAGGGGTCCTAAGGGGGCCCTGTCAAAGTGGGGGCGGGGGTGGGGCTTCCCCGAAAAAAAAAGGGATAGGGTGAAAAAACAAGAGGGGGGGGGGGGGGGGTGTGGGGGGGGGGGGGGGATGAGGGGGAATGAAGGGCTCCTAAGGCGGCCATGTCAAAGTGGGGCAGGGGATGGCACTTCCCCGAAAAAAAATGTGATAGGTTGAAAATACAAGGATTCATTTTGACGCATAACCTGGGTGCAGTACTGCGTCGAAATCTAAGAGCAACTGAGAAGTGCTACGAATTTTAAAAAAAAATGTTTATTTGCTATTAAGTAGTAAAGTTGTTTTATAACAATTATTTAAACTATTATAAAACTATTAAACCACTTACATTTGTTTAAACGGCTTCATTGGTAATTTTTTTTTTAAAGTGCCGTTGCTACGTGACAGCGTTTGCGTCACAAAAATGAATTTAACATATTATATTATATATACTGTTGCCCGGGTGCGTCAAGTGAGTTATGGCGCTGAGGTATATTAGGATCTGAGGAGTGAGCTGTGGCGCTGGGGTATATTAGGATCAGGGGAGTGAGTTGTGGCGCTGGGGTAACACCTTCTAGGATGATTGTCTACCATATTTTCCATTTAATGCATATTAGCTGTGTTGCTCACAGTTGAAATGGGTTGAAAGACTTTGACATTGTATGCTTGTAATTAGTTTTTGTAGTGTTGCGTTTGTTTTAAATGTGGTAAATTATAGATTTTTTTTTGTTGACTTTGTACCGCGTGTTTTTGAAATGAACTTTATTATTATTATTATTATATTAGGATCAGGGGAGTGAACTGTGGCGCTGGGGTATATTAGGATCTGGGGAGTGAGTTGTGGCGCTGGGGTGTATTAGGATCTGGGGAGTGAGTTGTGGCGCTGGGGTGTATTAGGATCAGGGGAGTGAGTTGTGGCGCTGGGGTGTATTAGGATCTGGAGAGTGAGTTGTGGCGCTGGGGTGTATTAGGATCTCGAGAGTGAGTTGTGGCACTGGGGTGTATTAGGATCTCGAGAGTGAGTTGTGGCGCTGGGGTGTATTAGGATTTCGAGAGTGAGTTGTATGGAGAGTGAGTTGTGGCGCTGGGGTGTATTAGGATCTGGGGAGTGAGTTGTGGCGCTGGGGTGTATTAGGATCTGGAGAGTGAGTTGTGGCGCTGGGGTGTATTAGGATCTGGGGAGTGAGTTGTGGCGCTGGGGTGTATTAGGATCTCGAGAGTGAGTTGTGGCGCTGGGGTGTATTAGGATCTCGAGAGTGAGTTGTGGCGCTGGGGTGTATTAGGATTTCGAGAGTGAGTTGTGGCGCTGGGGTGTATTAGGATCTGGAGAGTGAGTTGTGGCGCTGGGGTATATTAGGATCTGAAGAGTGAGTTGTGGCGCTGGGGTATATTAGGATCTGGGGAGTGAGTTGTGGCGCTGGGGTATATTAGGATTAGGGGAGTGAGTTGTGGCGCTGGGGTATATTAGGATCTGGGGAGTGAGCTGTGGCGTTGGGGTATGTTGGATTCTGGGGAGTGAGTTGTGGCGCTGGGGTATATTAATAATACTTTTTATATCATTGCGTGTCCTTAGTACGTGCTTTCCATTTACTTTAAACCAACTGGCGTCATCAAGAGAGAGTAACTCTCAGCTCTGTGATAGCTCTCCCCTGGGCTCTAGTTGACACCTTGTTGTTTTTTCTGCTCCGCTTTTTGACACACTAAAATTTCAATTAGACTATCATAATAATGAATAGCTATAGATAGTAAAACAGCACTGCGCCTTGTGTGACACTTTTTTCCTATATATTTAGGGACGATTTTGTGTGTTGTAAACTGCAGACCTTTTTTTCGTGGTTAAGGGCGTCAAAATATTTTCCCGTCCCGATTGACACTAAACCTACATATGCCATTGCATACAGAGAAGGAATGAAGATGGATTGGTTACAATCCAGTTGGAAATAAGTGAAACAAAGATGGGGAAAACATGGGAAAATGTCCAAACAAAAAACGAAAATGTCGGAAAGAAGCCGTCTTCAGCGAACCAACAACAGCAAACAGATATACAAAGTGACGTAAAATCTTGTCAATCAAGTAATCCAAAATCAAGTAATCCATAATCAAATATTAAATGACAACGTTGAATTTACTGGACAATTCAAAGAGACGAAGACTACGTACGAGGGCACAGAGAAGGGGCATGGACACACACACAAATACCAAAAAAAAAAAAAAAAAAGAGAGAGAGGGGGAGAGAGAGAGAGAGAGAGAGAGAGAGAGAGAGAGAGAGAGAGAGAGCAAGCGAGAGAGAGAGAGGGCAAGCGAGAGAGAGAGAGAGAGAGAGCAAGTGAGAGACAGAGAGAGAGAGAGACATGTAATGAACTAGAAAGAATATATAGAACAAAACTCTGCGATGTTTAACCATCTGTTGGCGTGGAAACGTTATGTGAAGGTTAATATTGTGTGTACAGTGACAATGTCCTGTCCCCTTGATATTAAGTTTGCACCGACCCCCCCCCCCAGCCTTACCATTTTTTTTTAATTTTGAAAGAAAATTTTACCGTAATTTAAGATTCTACATCTACGGTACGCGTGCTAAAAAATGTCTAGAAAACCGAATAATAATCCCAGTTACCAATATTAAAATTATTATAGGATAATTTCTCTTTAACCAATCTCGATGACGACACCGGCAAGCCGAGAGGTGTTAATTAGTCGTTAGTAGTTATCAATATCTATTTATATTATAGTCATATGTTTCCATATTATAGAATTAAACTGCATACTTGATAGCTTTTCAATTTTTTTATTATCATTTTTTTTTAAAGATCGGGATGTCCAAGTCGTCTGAGATTGACCTTCTCTTGATTGGAAAAACAGGCAATGGAAAGAGTGCAACGGGAAACAGCATCTTGGGACGAAAGGCCTTCAAGAGCTGTGCAAGCGCAGACTCCGTGACAAAGTCGGTGGACTTTGAGGTGGGCAAAGTAAACGGCCGTGTGGTCAAAGTTGTGGACAGTCCTGGCGTTGGGGACACCGAGCTCGACAAAGAGAAGGCGTTCACGTTGGTGCTGGACGGCCTGAAATTTGCCATCGTGGCGAATCCTGTCGGCTACCACGCGTTTCTTCTCGTGCTCAAATATGGATCAAGGTTTACGGCGGAGGAGCACCAGACTGTCAAGTTCTTGAAACATGTCTTCGGTCAATCATTCGTGGGGGATCATTGCATCATTGTCATGACGAACGGTGACACGTTTGTAAATAACCACGAAGGGTCTGGGAAGACTTTTGAGTCTTGGTGCGAAGAGCAGACAGGGGAGTTCAAAGAGATTCTGAAGGAATGCAATGGCAGGATTGTGCTCTTCGACAATCGGACACGTGATGAAGAACAGAAGACCAGTCAAACCCAAAAGCTGATGCGGATGGTTGACCATCTCCGGAAACATGGCAAGCGGTACACTGACGAGAGCTTTGAAAACGCCCTGAAGACGCGAACGCTCCTGATTGTGGAGTTCAAGGAGCCCCTGATCCGAGAAGAGACACTGGCAGAAACGAGCCTGATGATACAGAAGCTCGAAAAGCTTCAGGCTAATCGGTTGCAGGGGAGCTGGCTGAAGCAACTTGAGGACCTTTTGATACAGGCCGAGGCCCTTTACACCAAGGTCGACAGTCAAGATCGAGGCACTGGGGTCTTGAAGAGTTTAAAAGAAACGGTCCAGTCCATAAAGAGTCAGCTGTCAGACGAAATAAAATTGTGTTTCAACACGGTAAAGAAAAACGAAATGCTGGCAAATAAAAATTCAAAGGAGGCCAGGACAGAATCTCAAACTGACCAACAAGGGCGGCCTTCGTGCGTCATGGAACATCCCAACGAAAACGACGAGCCAATGAACGAACTTTTGAAAATATTGGAAGATCTCCGACTGAAACAAACTGGTCAACGCCGGCACATGATGGACAGCTATAGTGAATCAAAAGGGAAATTCCAAAATCTCCTATTTCCACTATTGCTAAGCAGGTTTAACTGGCCATCGGCAATGTCCTTTAAAAGCTTTAACGTCACACAATAAATCTGAAGTACGAACTTTAAAGAAAGAAAAAAGAATTCTTAAGTGAACAATGATGCGTTATGAATTTCTTTTTTTTTTTTAAACAGATCAACTTAGGATCGTAACCTTAGCAACCATAGCCCGTTTCCCGTTCTTACAATTCTGTCGTTGGTTCGAGTCATATTCGTTACATCTGTTATTGGGGAGTAAGTTAAATTATATATAGAGAGAATGAAAAGTCTAGGCCTAAGTGCAATGTATTTTCTACCACACGAAATCTGTTAATTGTAACAAAAGATGTCAGCTGAAGAAGATTGACGTTGGTGCAGTTAATATGAACACTTTTGTTGCTGTTGTTGCAATGTTCCTTTTATTATTAATCTATTATATAATTACTGCTTCAGCAGATTTTTTTTTAAAATTACGACACTGTGTGGTTTCTATTGCCATACATTTATCATTAAATTAATTTTATTTTCAATTGCAATCCTGGCATCTTCTGTTTGTTGTGGCTTTGATAGATTTTGCCATTAAATATTTTATAATAATTTCCAGCACTAGTCTTAAGCAATGAATCAATAAAAATTTCAGTAACAGATGTGTCAAGTTAAAAGTTTGATAATTTAAATAATGTTCTTAAAAAAAGGAATAAATGTTGGCAGATAAATGCATGCTTGTGAATGTATTCTTCCAGGAAAATCGACGTGTATGTTTTGACCTATCTAGCAGTAAAACCCCAAACAAGTGCACACATTCAGGTGCAAACATACATGTACACACATACAGGTAGACATGAACATGTACAAAAGCATATAAATACCAATAGGCTTAGACCACACCATAGGTTTTATGTGAATTAATAGATCTAGGCTTATAGACTTTTGATGGAGCAGGTTATTGAATTGATCACTTAGGGATAAACAGGGGGATCTGAAAGCTAACTGAAAAGTTTGATTCGGTTCTTTTTTACATTTGAATAGTAGAAAAATTGTCACGCTTGTTTGAAAAAGAGTCAGTTGTGTCATGTGCGTCTCGTGAGTCATGCGTGTCATGTGTGTCTTGTGAGTCATGTTTGTTATGTATTTCTTTTGAGTCATGTTTGTCTTGTGTGTCTTGTGAATCATGTGTTTTTTATGTGTCTTGTGAGTCATGTTTGTCTTGTGTGTCTTGTGAATCATGTGTGTTTTGTGTGTCTTGTGAGTCATGTTGTCTTGTGTGTCTTGTGAATCATATGTGTTTTGTGTGTCTTGTGAGTCATATGTGTCAAGTGAGTCGTGTGTGTCTTGTGAGTCATATGTGTCAAGTGAGTCATGTTTATCTTGTGAGTCATGTGTGTCTTGTGAGTCATGTGTCTTGTGAGTCAAGTGTGTCATGTGTGTCATATGTGTCATGTGTGTCCCGAGCGGTTGAATGTTACAGCGATTAGAAATGAAAAAATCTGTCCAAAGGACATGAACTATTTTGCAAATTCACTCCATAAGCTGGTTGGTGATTAAAACTAAGGCAATCTCAACCCTTTGTGGATGTTAGTCACAGAGAGAGAGGGTGGGTGGTTTAAACTTAGGGCATCCTAATACTTTGTGTTAGTTTGTATTTGTTTGCGGGGGTATATTTATATCTATCTCTATACTTCTATACCTCTACACATCTCTACCTCATATCTAACTCCACACATCTCTACCTCTACACATATCTAACTCCACACATCTCTACCTCTACACATATCTAACTCTTCACATCTCTACCTCTACACATCTCTACCTCTACACATCTCTACCTCTACACATCTCTACCTCTACACATCTCTACCTATACACATCTCTATCTCTACATCTCATTTAGCAAATATGTCATTTAGCAAATATGTCATTTAGCAAATATGTCATTTAGCAAATATGTCATTTAGCAAATATGTCATTTAGCAAATATGTCATTTAGCAAATATGTCATTTAGCAAATATGTCATTTAGCAAATATGTCATTTCTGGGGCGTTCAATACTATTGACCGAGTTTTTTAAATATACGCACGTGTTTGAAACACGAAAGGGGCCCGAACTCTGTCAGCTGCCTGTGGCCTAGAATGTCCAAGTTGCGTGTACAAAAGACTAACAAACTGATCACCCACACCAAGATAAGAATTTATAAATAAAATTAGTACAGTGTTGAGGACTGTCTTGATTATCTCTTCCATGGATAAGAAAGCTCTGGAAGGCAGCAAAACACTCGAAAAACCGAAGCGGCAAGTTTATCAATTGAAATGCATTCAGAGGATCCAAAGGAGTCTTCTCACCCAAGACGCTCCGCAGCAAAGAACTGAGACGCCGATCGGAAATGACAACCATTGCAGACAACTCCGTGCGTAGAGGGGACGTAAATCGCTAAATATATACGCCAATACAAGTATGCATCAGAATTCATTTATTATTTATGAAACGAAGAAGGAGGTGCCATGTTCAGTCCTTGCCACCCCCCCCCCCCCCCCCCCCCCCCCCCCCCCCCCCCCCCCCCCCCCCCCGATTCGCAGGGCCTTAATTGCAGACGCCGTGCCGACACGTTGCTGTAGATAGTTCGATAACGTTGAAGAATATCAGCACGCCAATTTTTCCCGGGACTGCACTAAGATGGACTATGCCTGGCAGTGCCTTGTGAAAACGAAATAACGGAAGACGCACTCATAGAGAATGGTCAGGGCAAAAAGAAACCTGCTGACACTGCAGACATATCTTTCAGAAGCAGCCAAAAGGACAGAAGTGGCGTTCCTTAGTTGTTCCTCAAACAGCCGTCGGCACACGAGGACTGAAACAATGAATACTGTAAATGAATGGCTTGGATACACGCAAGTTTATGATTAAGAAATTGACATTCCCACGAGTTCTTGAGTATTGACAGCAATGTTGGATGTCAGAAGCTTTCACCTTTAGTTATCTGCACTTACCGAGGTATACTTTTTAACCGGCAAGGGGTGTCATTTTGGAATCGCTATGGTGTGCTGCAGTCAACATAGTGTTGAAATGGTCTTAAATATATGTACATAGAGAGAAAGGAAATTATTTGATTTTTTTTCAGTAGCAGCCATGCTGTTTGTTGTTTTGCTCGATTAAAACCATGATGGTGTCCCTTTGGTGGAAGATTATTAGTATAAAACAGTATTATATTCTGCACCCCTTCCCTCCCCCACACCAGAAACTTCGCGCTGGAAGCCCAGTTTTAAGTAAACTTTAAAAATCCCTTCATCGTTTGCTGGTTGTTATTTAGCCTGACGTTGGAAGCAAGTCAAATTGCCTGTGGACATTTAAAAATAGTTTTCCTGAAATTTTTTTTTATGCCCTGAGTTAAAGATCAGTCACGTGAACCCTTTTTTCCTCCTGCTCGCCCGTGCCAGCAAGAGTAGTGGCCTTGAGGTTCTATACAAAAAAATTGTTGCGATTCTCGCGTGTTGGAAGTCCCAAAATATTTTTTTACGCACTCAAAAGTAAACACATCATATGAAAAATTACTTATCAATATTTTTAAATTCGACTTCCATAAAAACACAACATATTTAAAAAACATCGTATGCCAATAGACACATGAAGCATTAATTAAATTGGGGGAAAAAAAGGAAAGAATGCTGTAGTTTTAATTTTGTTTTTAAAATAAAGTTAAGCTGCGTGCAATCAATAGAAAGAAAATTTCAAAAGGAAACTCAAGTGGCATCCCCTCCCCCCACCCCCAAGGAAAAAAAAAACACCAACAACCCAAACTTATTTAGAATTATGGAGGCCAATGAATGGGTATGTTGTTTGACAGCAAAATATCTTGTAACCAGTGGCGTAGCCAGGGTTGGTGCCAGACCAAGGTTTTTGCCGCCCTATTGCTACGAAAAAAAGACAACTCTGCAGTTGGTTGAAAATGCCGCACCTTTAATACAAAGAAAAAAATCCCGCTTGGGAGGTACCACCCCCTCCGTAGCCCTTTCCTGCGCCACTGCTTGTGATATGTCCCATGAAATTCTTGGTCTTTTTCAGTGATAAATTTAGTGCTTAAAGTCCAGAATCGGGGGCCTATGCGTCAACGGGACATTTCATTTTAAAACATAATTTTATAAAGTGGTCGCGGGGCTATGCTATTCCACAAACTTGGCGTTCCCTGATATTTGTGTTTATGGATTACAGTGTTCATTGATTGTTCGTGTTTAGAAAATCAATAGTTGGCGCACTTTTCACCGAGCAACACACGTACGATTTTTTTCCTGGAAACCTTTAATACAATGAAACACAGCCATTTCCAAGTTTAGCTTTCACCAGGATGTAAACAAAACAAAACCAAAACAAAACAACAACCTATTTTATTAAAAAAAAGATCCGCCTCGAGTGATTTACTTGGTAGCCTGCACCAGAGGTGTAGCGAGGGGGTGGCAGGGGGAGGACAGATTCCCCGGGCGCCAGCTAGTTAGGGGCGCCAAAATGTGCTTTGATATTATTTTATTGATGAAAATAATGGGTTTGAGAGTAGAAAAATAGAAAAGGGGGCGCTTTAAAATGGATCTTGTCCCCCGGGCGCGAATCTTGTCCCCGGGCGCCAAACACCCTCGTTACGCCTCTGGCCTGAACACACCATTTCTGCACGCATGAATGGTTACCGCGATACTGAAACACTATCGATCATTCTTAGAAAACAGAGTTCCCGAGGAACTGACGGGCTGCTGTGTTGTTACTTTTTTTTTTTTTGGATTGACAATCGTGGTGCTTTAAGAAAAGTTTGAGTGTAATGATCATTGAAGCAGATTGGACCAAGAATAGACAGAATAAAGAAGTGTTTTAAACCCGCGGGCGTACATTTCAACATTTGTTCAAAGTCTTCTATACGACAACCGCTCCTGATTTCTATCGGTAAGTCTGAGCAAAGCGCCACTTTGAAATAATAATAATAACAACGCGTAAAAATAATTCCTTATTGACGTAATTTATAACTTTATTTTGAAAACGTACAGCTTCTCAATGATAATTCTTATTTATAACTTATGTTACACTCTATAAACCCGAGATACTGGGCCAGCGCGTGGGCCATGCAATCTCTATGGTTGTAGAAGGCCTCGGAGATTTAAAAAGCTAGAAAACATTTTCTCGTGTCACTTGAGTAGCTAAAAAACCGTTCGCAGGCCACTTAAAGACTAGAAAACCGTTCGCGGGCCACTTAAAGACTAGAAAACCGTTCGCGGGCCACTTAAAGACTAGAAAACCGTTAGTGGGCCACTTAAATAGCTAGAAAACTGTTCGCGGGTCACTTAGATAGCTAGAAAACATTTTTTCGGGCCACTTAAATAGATAGAAAACATTTTCTCGGGCCACTTAAATAGTTAAAAAACCTTTTCTCGGGCCACTTAAATGGATAGAAAACCCCTCGCGGCCGCATGCCATTTAAAATAAAATGAGTAAAACCAAGTAGGGTTAAACCTGAAAAAAAAGTAACGCAACAAAACAACGAACGTGTCGGCAGGAAGCCTTCGTCCCCGAACAAAAGGACAGAAAAAAAAAAAGAAAAAAATTTAAAAATAGCATTTAGCTTAGAAGTAGTATCCGGGGGCAGCAAATGAATTGTCGTATGTCATTTAACTATTAACTTTAAAAAAAACAACAACAAAAAACGTGGTCCTTATTCTATCCTCGCAGAATCCATCTCTCCCGTACTCAAATTATCCGTTACATCATAGCAGTTATTATACAATGTATGAAAAACCACGCGAAACACAACGTCTTTTTAAAAGAGAAAGTTTAAAAAAAAAATAATGTATAAACTTTTATAATCTTCAATGTATCTGTTGAGGCTTAAATTATGTTTAATGATCTTTAACAATATTCGCTTTCTTGGTTCATCAGGCCACCATGCATCAATCCAAGGATATTGATCTGCTCTTGATTGGAAAAACCGGAAACGGAAAAAGCGCAACTGGGAATTCAATTTTAATGCGAAAAGTTTTCAAGACGAGCGGCAATATGACATCTGTGACCAAGAAAGTCGATTTTGAAGTGAGCGATTTCAACGGGCGCATCATTAAGGTGGTGGATGCTCCCGGGATATGTGACAACAGTAAGGAAGGTGGCGAGGAAGCCTTGGATCTTGTGGTGACTTCTTTAAAATACGCCATTGTCTCTAACCCGAAGGGTTTTCACGCTTTCATCATCGTCATCAAATACGGACAAAGGTTTTCTGGAGAGGAACAGACGGCGATAAGTAATTTGAAAAAGATTTTCGGGGGAGATTCCTTTAAGCAATACGGCATCTTGATAATGACGAACGGCGACTCATTTGAGGACGACGCCGAGGGCACGGGACAGACGTTTAGAGACTGGTGCCGCGAGCAGCAAGGGGAGATAAGAACACTTTTACAAGAGTGCGACGACAGAATTGTTTTATTCAACAACACGACAAAGGATAAAACGGTGATGGCAAAACAGTTAGCAGAGCTGATAAGTGTAGTGGATAACATGCCAACACGGGGGGCGCGGTATACGGACCAGAACTTTAAAAGGGCGAAAGAGGAGCGCAAAAGACTCATTCTCGACACAAAGACGCCCGTCATAGAGCAAAAGACCCTCAATGAGGTCAGTCTCATTCTTCAAAAGCTGGATACCTTGATTGATACGAATGACACCGTTAGCAAGGTGGAGCCGCTACAAGAACTTTTGGAGAGAGATCAAAGATTATTGAACACCGTAATTATAGAGGACAAAAAAACAGGGAAGTTGAAAAAACTCGCCGACACCGTGAAATCTGTGGAAGAAAATCTCTCGGATGAGCTCAAACTGACTAAAGCTTGGACGAAAAGAATGGAGGAAATCAAAAGAGAAAACGAACGACTTAGAGAACGCGATGATCAGGCAAAGAAATTAGAAGAGGAGCGATTAAAGCTTGACATAGAAGCTCGTGAGTTGGCTCTGAGGAAGGAAATGGATGAAAACAGGAGGAGGCAACAGGCAGCAAGCGAAGAGCTGGAGAAGAAGTATAGGGAAATCAAAGATTCAAGCGAAGACGGCGCCGTGACGAAGATAGTTATGGGCGTGACTAAACCTTTCAGGGCATTCGGTGATTGGCTGTTTGGTTAGAGTACAGAATGAAAAAAAATGGTAGCTTTTAGAAAGATCGCATTTATTGTAATCTAAAACAGAAACAGATTTTTGAAAAAGTGAGCTCAGTGTCAAAGGACTTAAAAAAAAAAAAAAATAAAAATAAAAACCTTAAATATTTTTTATCCATTCCCGTTAAAATATTTTTTGGTAAACATTCTCATTATTTGCATTTTTAATCAGTTACATGTAAGTGATAGTCATTGTGTAGAATTATTGTGTGGGAGCATTGTTTTACCGCTTTCCTACAAAAATGATGGGGATTCCCCTATAACCCCCCCCCCCAAACCCCCCACACAAACACACACACATCCCTGGCACCTGGGAGTCAAACCCTCTGCTTTGATAAGTAAATGTTTGACTCTGAAATAATAAGGTCATAAAATATGAAAAAAAAAAAAAAAACTTCCTTGGTTTTATTTTCTTTCTGACGCCTCCTGTGAAACTACAAAATAAACTTTTTTTTTTTTGAACAGATCTAAAAACGTTTTGGTCCCCATTTAAGTGTGAGTTGGCGACTATGCGTTATAATTCACTTGATTCAGTTTGCTTTGGCAGCAAGTTATTTCCATTGAATATTAAGTGAGTATGTGCACAATTAACTACATTTCTCTTTTTAAACAATTATATAATAATATAGATAGAAGTAGAAGCTTGTGGAAAATATATCTTGTCCAGTTATTACAAATTGTTTATTATAATACTTTTTAAGTTATTATTATCTTTTTCTATTAAATGCTAGTAGTTATCATATCTAGTTAGTAACAAGCATCTTGTATTGCAAAAAGTTTTCTTTAATGTAACACTTTCTTAAATTGTGTTTAAACATTTTAAAAAATTAATTTAGAATGGTTTGGTGTCCCATTTGATGATTAGGCTTTGCCTTTTGTTATGCAATGTTGGGAAAAGAGCATATGAAAAGGGAAATTAAATGAAGGACTGTGTTCAAGTTGTGTGAAGGAAATAGTGGAGCAAGGTATGAAAACGGAAGCTGGATAAGCCAGAGTGGCAATTCGTTTCAGTTGATGGAAAAATGAGAAGAATGTTAAATTATTATTATTTATTTTCAGCATTGGCATGGGACTAAATTGGAATTTTTGGCAATGAAAAATAATATTGCATTGTGGTATCTAAATCTTTAAAAAAAAATCACATATTTTGACTGATTGCTGGAGTTCTTCTTAATTTTGTTTTTGTCTTGGTTTTGCGCCCACTCTTATTCTTTTCTATTTTTTAGGTAGGATACATATATTATGTAAAAAATTTATTTTTTTTGCTTTTTGTATTGATGAAGGCATTTGCCAAAAGGCCTACGTATTTATTTTGTAATATCATCATAAATTAAAGCTGAACGCATATTGTTTTATTTACACATATTGTTTGTGTCTAATTATTCTGATTGATGGAGCAATTGAACCAGGTGTGCTGATTCTTAAAGGCAAGGGGCCAGCCCTGAAAGGCCACCAAGTGGCCCCTCGTAAAACAACACAATTTATTTGAGAAACCTGTAGATTTAAGATTTAAAGCAAATCAATTAACTGACCTTTTTTTAAAGGTACTTCAAAAACACAGGTCCATAATTTCTAGAACAGTTGTCTGCTGATTTAAGTCAGCCCAGATTCCTAAAACATTACCTGGCTACCAAAATTGTACATGTGCATTACAAGATCATCACACCTGACGCATACAAATATTTCAATAAAAATCTCCAATGATAGCATCAATAATTTAATCTTGTTAAAGGCCATGCAGATTTCATTGCACAAATATGTACAAGTGGGTATGTTATGATGCATAACTTTTTTTAATGAGCCATATTACTTCATAGAATCAGAAAAAGTCTTTGTTTATCTCTAAAATGAAGGCCACACTGTGTTCAAATTCAAAATTTTTAACAATGACATTTGTATATAAGTATATGGAAACTATCACAGGCAGCTTGAATGCATATGTTATTTAAAAAACTGTATGGACAATGAAATAGAAATGATAAAAATGTGTAAAGCAGCTGAATAACATAATAATAATAAGAAGAAAAGGATAAGCTCTTCCTACTAATTCCTAGTCATGGCCCTAATCAAAAAGTTGTGAAATCATCAAGTTTTATACACCCAAGGTCTTAATTAGTTAAACTATAGTGGCTCTTGATAAATCTTTTTAAAAAAAATTATTTTTATTATTTATTTTTTTTTTACTAAAGGCGCCCTTGCACATTGAAAAACAAACTAAAGGACAGTCTCATACATAGCAATAATACTTCATCTCCAAATACATGTTAAAACAAATGGCTACCAAATTTTGTCATGGTTCAGAATTTTTCCTCTTACTCTTGCCCTGTCCTTTTTTTGAATGAGTAGAATTTTTTTTGATGATTAAAATTTAAAAAAATCAGCATGCTATCAGTCAGGTGAAAAATTAAATTGAAACAACAAATAACTCATTCCTTACAAGTTACAGCATCCATACTTAATTTTTTATACCTGAGAAATGGAAGCAAATCCGTTTTGCAATTGATTTACATTTGTAAATATTTTTTTAAGCTGCTAAATATTAATTAATGTTAATGAATTAAGGAAAAATGCATCAGAAAATGAATAAGGTTTAATAAAAATATAACACATTAGCTGCAAAAAAACTAATTTCTTTCTAATTTTTGAAGTTTTTTAAATTGATTATTTTTGGCTATACTTTAATTTTCTAATGGCTATGCCCCCCTCACCCCCTTTTACCCAAATGTTAATGCTATATCAGTTGATTATCAGCTCCAGTTCTTCAGCACACTATCTGCCCTCTCACGCCTTAGAGAAAAAAAGGATGGTCCACATTTCACATGGAGCAGCCCTCCTCTTCTTGATTAATGATGACGACACTGTGGTCTGCCCTTTTGGGATGCTCTCCCCTTATCTGCCACTCTGGCACATCATCCCCAAAGATAGGGGCGTAGTAGTAGTGGCGCCTCAGGATGTAGCCCGTCTGGCTGAGGTAAACCTTTCCATCAACCACATATGTGTGAATGTCACAGTTTTGTTCCTGGAGCCTTTCACTGTGAAGATGCTCAGCAAAAGCCTGGACACCAAAGAAGAAACAAAAGATCTAATAAGGATCTATAAATCAAAAGTTTCCCATTATACAAGACAACTGTTTTTTATATTAACTGGACCAAGAGTGTTTATTAATAATACAAAACGGTAGAACTCTGATATAGCGTCGGTAATTAATAACATTAAAATAGACCCAAAAAAGCTGTAGTAAACCCAGTTTCAAGTTTATTTTAAGCACCATTCTGCTCTGAACCACAACAGACTGTCTAATCACAGATAGTTATCGACAAGAGTTATCAGGAAATTCGGAAACATGTCTGTGCACCGAAACTGGATACGATAGACAAATTCTTGCAGATATGACGGAAACAATGCACGACTAGTTCCAAATTGTCTTCTCAACTTCCGCTTCACTCTCATCCACATGTTTTCGATGTGCTGGGTATGCACTTCGCTGTCATCAGGATCCACAAAATTACGTTCGTGAGCAACAACAGAATGCTCACATATTCCATGTCCGTTTTGATCTATGTGTGCGTATGCAGCCCAGCCATCGGAAACAATGTGTGTCCCTGGCCTGATGTGAGCTTCTATGCAGGGTTTTAGCATGTCTGCGCGCCTATCTGGCACTTTCAACAAGAAGCACTTCTGCCCTCGATCCCACCAAAGACCCAGTGGGTTACAATCTCCTACTGTGAATTCCTTGCTGGTAACAATTCAATGTGCACGGCTGGTTGAATATTTCAATGGATACTTAGTTGCCAATCAAATTGCAGCAGGCACACAGTAATGCCGAATCAGGTCGTTGCCAGTGTGGTGAAAGCGTCGACAATCACCACACTTCATTTAAGATGTCCTTTTTACTCAGTATTTTGTTAGGTGGTACAATAATATTTGACTCTCGTGTTCTTCCTGCCATTGTGGATTGAAATTTCTTTAAACGTAGAAACTTCCTGTGATCTGCTAAAGTATTTCTGGTATGGTAGTGCGTGCCGTCTATCTAAGTATGTAATTTCCGACGCTATATCGGAGTTTTACCAACAAAACATGTATGGACCACAGACAAATAGTCATAACTTTTGTAATCATTGGGCCAAAGGGGATTATTTTAACTTATTTGTTAATACCGGTACAAAACATATTTAGACCATGCACATATAATCATAATATTTGTAATCATTGGATTAAAATAGGTGATTCTTTGTTTACATATAACATTTACAGATTTTTCACATATAATCATATAACATTTTAAACCACTGGGCCAAAAGTGCTAATTTGTTAATACCGGGTACTTAACATTTACTAACCATGCACATATAATTAAAACATTAGTAATCATTGCGCCAAAGGTGATCGTTTGGTGATACATAACATTTACTGACCATGCACATATAAGCATAACATTAGTAATCATTGAGCCAAAGGTGCTCATTTTTTTGATACTGGTACATGATACCGGTACAAGGCATACACTGATCATGCACATATAATCATAACTTTATTAATAATTCAGCCAAAGGTACTCATTTGTTGATGCATAACATTTACTGACCATGCACATATAATCATAACTATAGTAAGGCGCTCATTTGTTAATACATAACATTTACTGACCATGCACATATAATCATAACTTTAGTAATCACTGGGCCAAAGGCGCTCATTTGTTACTACATAACATTTACTGACCATGCAGACAGAATCATCAAACTCATTGCCCCATATGAAAAGAGATGTGAGTGTTGAGTTGTAGTTCAAGCAGTCAGCTATACTGCACAAGCCTTTAGGACCAATCTTGTTGGAGACGATGTTCAGGCTGAAAAAAAATTAGTTACAATAAGAAACCACAATAATTTATACTAAAATGCAGAAATACACTATTCATCTCATGCAGGAGTATCAAAATCAGTATAGCAACTCTCAACACATCATTATCAAATTAAGTGTTGTCTCTTAACTTTGAGGGAACAGGTCAAGTCATGGAAGACTGCATGTGGGCATGGCGTGCAGGTTTGAGACCCCTGTTATAATGAGTGCAGGCAGCTCAAATAATAATATACCGTAGTTAAAAAGAATGGCTTTCTTACAAAAGAATGAAAAAAAACAACAACATGAAAACATGTATTCCACACAATGCAAACATGTATTCCACACAATGCAAACATGTATTCCACACAATGCAAACATGTATTCCACACAATGCAAACATGTATTCCACACAATGCAAACAATGCAAAAGAAAAAGTTTTACAAAGCAGTCCCTGACTCTTGTAAAGCCCATGCATTGAACAGAGGGGGGGGGGGGGGGGGAGAAGGTGAAGGGGGGAGATAAAACCGGTTAAAGATCAGGACAGGTAAAGTTTACCATTCAGGGGGGGGGGGGGAGGAGAGAAGGTGAAGCGGGGAGATAAAACCTGTTAAAGATCAGGACAGGTAAAGTGTACCATTCCAGAGTTGTGTTGTAGGTTCCAATAGCCTCAGCCAGGTGCATGGCCCCATCATCCTCCAATCTGTTGAAGCTCAGGTCCAGTATCTTCAATGGCGTGTTCAGCTTCAAGACTTTGGCTAGTTCCTTTATGCCATCCCTTGTTATTCTGTTGCTGGGTTGAAAAAAAAAAGAACAGCAAATATTCAGGGAAGAATGTTTTGAACTAGGCTATAATTTCCGTATTTGACAGTTTACTTAAAGCAGCTTAAATTTTTATAATCGGTCCATTCTGGCATGAATCTATTTTTTTTATGATGTCATTTTATACTATATTTATTGATTAAATGAATTAAACATTGGCTCTGAAAAAAACTCAAAGGTTGATTTTCTAAAACAATATTTAATTGGGGGGAAGAGTGTTAACTTCGAAAAAAAACGATCTCAGAAGTTAAATTTCTACATTTCATCTTTTAAAAAATTACATTGAGCAAGGACCCAGAAACACGAAGGTAGTGTGAGTTCAACTGACAGCATCTCCCACAAGGACAGAAATAAAATGTTTTCTTGCTCACAGCTTTTAGCACTGCTTATGGGATCACCCCCATTTTTTCGCCACGTCTTAGGAGTAACCTGCCAAAACCACTAACACATGCTTACTCTACGCTAAATAAATTTTATGTGGCATTTTTATCAGATTCATATGCATCTTTCTTTTTTTTTTTTGCATATGCCTTTCCTTTCTCTTTAGTAACTGTGAAAATTAACATATATTTCAAAGTATTTTATATTTTGTCATTTGATTTTAATTGTCAGGACCTCTTAAAGAAATGATACTAGCATTAAGAAAATGGAAAAACTTGTGAATTACAAAATCTTTATGATCACTAATTAAGTCATTGTTGTCACTAAGGGAGTTCATTGATGGCTGATTTCTACACTTGAGAAATTTTTTGAATTGTAATAAGTTGTCTTGGTTAAAAAATCTGTATTTATTTATGTACTGAAAATGAGTAGTTCAATGCAATTGAAAAAAAAAAAATTTCAATTTATTTGGATCAATGAAAGATTCTTATTTTATTCACTCTGAAAAGTAAAAATATCACCTTCTCTTGCATAATTGTTAAGAAATGCTTGTTAATATCATCTACAGATGGCTTACCAGCTGAGGTTCAAATAGGTCAATGTGGAATTGAACACCAGATTTTCAGCAAACCGACATGCTCCAAAATCTCTCATATTGAATTTCTGCATATGAAGTTCCTTAAGTCCTTTGTTTACCTGTCAACCAAAAATCATTTTAGGGAGTAATAATACTTGCACATAGACAGACATGATCCCTGCTCAATTAATAAATTTTTTTTTTTTAAAAATCAACAGGTGAAAAAAGCCAAAACTATTTTTAACTCAGTAAAATTGCCCATGGAGAACTGCAGCATGGTGAAGAAATAAAACCAATGAGCAATGAAGACATAAAAAAAAAAAATAGAAAAAAAATGAAATTACTTTAATCATTCGTGTGAAATGATCTGTGGGCTCTTCTTGGACTGTCCACAACAACGGTCTGTTGACATTCAGGGCTTTTAAGGTTTTATTCTCTCTGAGCACAGTGGCCAGTGCAATGAGGCACTCAATGGTCTGCATTTAGTTCATTTTTTTGAAAAGAGAAAAAAGTTTTTGTTTTTTTGGTTAATGAACACAAAAAAAAAATTAAATTGAAAAATATGTGTTCTAAGATTTGATAATTAAATAAAGATAAACGAATTTGAGTTCTGGATTTTAAAAGGCATTTGTTTTGTTCTACTATTTTGTTTAACCATCTAACCTGTGATGCCAGGCATGTATCCTTAGGCTTGAACAACGCCACTGTTGTGAACTAGATTGTTGTGAATGTTGGGCAGGGGGAGTTGTGGATCGTGAGAGTGTTTTGTGAGTTGTTGATCGTGAGATCAGAGCGTGAAGTTAGTCCGTGGTGTGGAACGTTAGTGTAGACTGAGTTGTTTGTGGGGTAATATAAAAGGGATGTGTGTTAGCCAGAGGTCAGAAGAAAGGTAGAAGAGTAAGGGAAGAATTGTTAGTCGTCAAAAGTTGTCAGTCAAGAGTTAGTTGTGCTGATGTGTCAGATTCCAGCCGAGAGAGTAGTTAGAGAGTTAGTATTATTGCCATTGAACTTTGTCACCCTGAATTGCTATTGGATCCTGTAAATAAAGAACTGTTGTATTTCCATGCTGGAGTTGTGATGTATATATATAGATATTAAGAAAGTGTTGTAAACCCCTAGACAACGTGGAGTCTGCTGACTGTGCAGTAAACATAACTACTGCGGGAAGTGTTGAAGGGTAAGGACGAAGATCCTAACATGTCAAGTATTGAGAAGTTCTTAACTGGAGACAACGTAAGGAGGCCCCGACATTTGATGAAGGTCTCAAGTTATTAAATAAAGGTCGTAACAGCCACCAAAGGTCCTAAGAACTGACCACAAATTCGACACCTTAAATAAATATATTCACTATCTCCTTTTTTTGATTTTCAACTAAAAATCTTAATCCCGTATTTGACCTACTAGGTCTGCATCCCCAATGTCAAGGTTTTCCAATGTTGTGTTGACTTGAAGAGCTTGTGCAAAGCTCATGCCTCCCTTATTGCCAATCTTGTTTCCATTGAGACGTAACACTTTTAGTGTGTTGTTAGTCTGCAAAGAGACAAGATTTTCAAAAAATTAACACCAACAATGCATTAAATTTGGTTAAATTAAGCAATTTTTATGAATTTTTAAAAAATGTGTGGCTCTATGCAGACTAACAACACACGGAAAGTCTGTAAAGAGACAATATTTTAAAAAAATTAATAAATTTCTGTTTCTCCCAAAGGGCATACCGCTCCATATATTTCTAATTCTATTTTAGTGTGGCTAAAAACAGAAAAAAATGGAGAAGTAGCAACCAAAAATCATCCAACCTCACTCGCAACACTATTTAATTTAATATTTTGTTTGTCCCTGGATATATTATGTGGAATGGAATACAAATAAACGGGATGTATGTACAATATATAGAGGAGCTATGCATGGCAAAGAAAAAAAGCTGGGCAAAATTAATATGATCTCTATCTTTCTTTATAAAAATTAAAACACATTTCTGATTAAATCACGTTTGTCTAAAGCAGGTAAATTACAGGGCACTTGATAATGGCATCAAGCTCTCCATAAACATAGCTAAAAAAGGCACTTGATAATGGCATCAAGCTCTCCATAAACATGGCTAAAAGGGCACTTGACAATGGCTTCAAGCTCTCCATAAACATAGCTAAAAGGGCACTTGATAATGGCATCAAGCTCTACATAAACATGGCTAAAAGGGCACTTGACAATGGCTTCAAGCTCTCCATAAACATAGCTAAAAGGGCACATGATAATGGCATCAAGCTCTCCCTAAACATAGCTAAAAAAGGCACTTGATAATGGCATCAAGCTCTCCATAAACATGGCTAAAAGGGCACTTGACAATGGCTTCAAGCTCTCCATAAACATAGCTAAAAGGGCACTTGATAATGGCATCAAGCTCTCCATAAACATGACTAAAACTACATTTGATAATGGCATCAAGCTCTCCATAAACATGGCTAAAAGGGCACTTGACAATGGCTTCAAGCTCTCCATAAAAATAGATTACAAGGATTAATGCAGTAAAATCATTTTCTACTACTGCTGCATCTAAATAAAGTAGTAGACTCATTTATAAATAATTGGTGATGGCAGGAATAGAATGATATAGGCCTACTATGTACAAGCTCACAGAGAAATCAGCCTAACACCAGGAGACTATAATGGATACAGAACAAAAATCTCATCTAGTCCACCTATCATCATTAAGGGCTGCTATAAAACATACACAATTAACATCTCATCTAGTCCACCTGTCGTCAGAGGGCTAATTTAAAACATACACAATTAACATCTCATCTAGTCCACCTGTTGTCAGAGGGCTGATTTAAAACATACACAATTAACATCTCATCTAGTCCACCTGTCGTCAGAGGGCTGATTTAAAACATACACAATAAAACAAACATCTTATGCAGTCCACCTACCAGCAAAGCTTTGGCTAAGGCTGTGGCTCCATCACCTCCGAAATCATTGCACATGATGTTGATTTCTTCAATAGTCTTGTTGACCTGAAATTGTTAATGTTAACATAAATATAAGAAGGTAAGGAATTTTATGGCAGCCTTATTTGCAAACTGTCCTTCTATCTGTAATATAATTAAGCATTTGTTTCATATAATTAATATCAATCTGTACAATACATTTCTGCATAATCTAAAAAGACAATGAAGAGGAATTTTCTTTCAGTAGTTTTCCCAAAGATATTTTTAATTATTTAGTTTTATCAGCCTTCAGAGAGCTAGCGAATATTAATACGCCTTTTAAAAAAATAGTGCACGTCCCTAGCCTTAAACTTAGTATTCCAACTAAATTATTCAAGTCAACTAAACTCAAAATGGTTGTCCTCTCAAAATATTTTTTAAACATTCAAATATGTGCCCCATGGTTGAAGGGTAAGACTGTCAGCCCTTTGACCAGGTTGTTACTATCTTCTTGTCCTGGGCTTTCCCCCCAGCTATGGGTCAATAACCCAAATGGTGTTGGAGTCAATGGCCAAGAAAGGCAGCTACTCTTGGGGAGGAGAAAAGCCCTGAGGGAAAAAACCTAAATCCACTTATGCTGGATGACAGCAGTCAATGTGGCGTGGGACTAAAACAGTTCTCTTTGCAAAACTAGCTTTAGTCATCTTGCTGGTTCATTTGAAATTGCATGAATTATAATTGAGAACACTGATTCCACAAAATTATTATTTTGTAACACCAATGAAGCTAAAATATCATGACACATATGCTTTACACTATTTGCTATCTTGTTTAGCTGAATTTTAAAACTTCAAGGAATAGAAGCTTTTTTGCATGTGTGTATACATTTTCTCACCTCTAAAAGTCTACCAACTACAATGGCTCCTTTGTCTGTGATGGTGTTATAACGCAGATCAATGCTCCTCACAAACTTATTGGCTTCGAGTGTTTTATAAAGGACGAGGCAATCATCATCTGTAATTCTAGCAACAGAGAGCTGCGGGTGGTCTCCAGCAAGGTAAAGATGCATGTTTTCTTGGACCTCTCTAGGGAGCAATCAAAGAAATAACTTCAGCGTGTTTCTCTTGGTAATATAAATATAAATTAATAAAAACTAAGTAACACTAAAAATAATCTGGAAAGAGCTGAAACTCAAATGTAATTTTTTACTAATCACCTATAGGGGAGACTTAGAAAAAACACAACACCAAATACTCTATTTTGCATTTAATCTTTTAATTCTCAAGATGTACTAAAACTGTGCCATTTCATGATCCCCAACAGTGGCAGCCATACACAATGTCATCATGGACTGGAATGGTTGATGAAGCATAGCACAGTTTTCACCAGCCTTAAAAGTTAAAAGTGGATTTTTTCCCCCTCCTCAATGTTAGTAACTCTTGCCTCTTTAACTCTGGGTCAAATTAGAATTTTAAAGCTTGCCAAGTTCTCAAATCGTGATCTCTGTAGAGAGGGGGCACTGCTCGTGTAGTGCTTTGGCAAGGCTCTAACATAATTTGAGCTAACATCAATTGGTTTTGAGGTTGTTTTCATAAGGTCTTGTCTAGCCCAGAAAGTAAGAAATTATGGACAGACGCAAACAAAGAAAACAGAACAGATAACATGAGATAGAACCAAGAGATTGTGTGCTTCAGTCATTTCTACTTTATAAGGGAGAGGACTGAATCATAAAGCATCCTGTTTAATTTAAACTGAATTTTTTTTTTTTAAACGAAAAGTTAGTTTTTAGAAGAAACAAAAAAAGAAAACATATATTATAATATATTATAATAAAACTTGTGTATGCCATTTATTCATACTAACTTTTCCTCGACCAAATGCATCAAGCCATATATATTACTTCAGTGAAATTTGATAGAAATTGTACTTAATGCAGGTATTAATTCATAAACAATAATGAAATAATCAGAAACCCACTTCAATATGATTAGTAATAGATTAATAATAGAAACCTTCAAGTTGTTATATTCTTAAAGACACTTGAAGCAAATTCACTGAACTGTTTATGAAATAGTACACTGTTAAAAATTATTTTTTTATTTTCAAAGTACCCACAAATAAAGAACCATTTGTATTAATTTTAACAGCCTTCAACCAAAAAGTGTTTCTCATTTACTGTAGTAGAATGTACATTTGTTTAAAACATTTATCTGGCATCATATTATATTGGGCTGAGATCCCTAAGAGAGTTTCAAATATAATTACCATTGAGTACTGCCATATTTAATAAAAGCAAAAGTAAGTATTCAAATTTTTACATGTATTTACTTTCATAATTTTATAGTATTATGTGTAAAAGTAGTAAACGAATGCAATTAAAATTTGGTAATTGTAAACTTGAAAAGAAACCCAATTAATAATTAGGATGAAATTAAAAATATTCCATTCATTTACAGAAAAAATAACAAGCCTGTCAATAAATTAATTTCTTGTGAAATTGAAAGAAATTTCATGATGTCAAATTTGAATTTATTTTCATGACTTTCATCCACCTTACTCAATACTACAAACTTATTGATTGAATTAGGGCTGTGGCACAGTCAACCCCCTCAAATCTCTGAAATAGGATGCATTATTTCAATTTTAATATTTAAACTCAATAGAAGTTTGTCTTTCCATTATCAATTATGTTGTTTTTCAATTAAAATCAGATTCAGGGAAAATTTTTTCTTAAACATCAAATCTAATACAAAACTTTGCATGACTTTGGATTGATTATTTAATACCTTAGAATAAGTAGTCCTCATGCTAACTATACTATTGTTAGATAAAAGGTACCTGTCGAAAAGCAACAAGTGATACATGGAGATTAAATAAGAAAGGTATTGTGCAATTATAGTGTACATGTGCCTGACATGATGTCATGAGGAAAACCAACATATTAATTCTCATGCATTTCAAACCATCAAACACAAAGCTGAAAAGGAAACAGATAAGCAAGGAGCACACTTAAAACATAGCGATGGCAGGAATTTTTTTTTTCGGGGGGGGGGGGGGGAAGCACAACAGTTTTAAAACATGCAATTCAACGAGGGCTTGCCAATTAAGCACCAAATATACTTACTTGCCTTCTTTTTTACGTCTGTGTAAAAAGAAAATCAACCCAAATTTTGAAATCACACCTTTGTGTCCACATTGTCATTAATTCACAACAAAATTTACTTATGTTTATATTTTGGGCCATTTTGGGGTGAGAAGAGAAAGGCAAAAACAACACAACATTAAGATTTCTCCAATGGGCTCATTTAAAATGCTCAAAACACACATTCAACCTTTAAACTTTTTCAAAGAAGCTATAAAGTGAAATTCATTTTAATTAATCATATTAAATGTCATTAAAAATTACCTAATAGTGTAGGGATGACAAAAATGTGTTGGCACATTGACTCTTATTTTGAACATGCAGGTATTTAAAATGTTTTTAAATTCCAGAGATTAGTATACAGAGAGTATTATCAAGACAAATGAGAAATTTTCAGAATTTTTTCAGGTTATACTGTAAAATTTGCTAATTATAAGAGGGGTTGGACTGCTATAAAGCTTTCAAGTGGACCAATAGCTTACAGTCAAACCTTTATATTTATTGGCATCCAAATTATGATTACATTTCTCTTTTTTTTCCTAGAGTTTTCAATGATCTTATATAAAAAAAATCCAACTCTTTCAAGGCAAACTCTGTTTTAATAATGACTGAAAATGATTACTTACTGAACTTGATTTTCTTTCTCTCTTTCCAGCATATTAGTTATGTATTCAGATTTCTCTATATCTAATTCTGAGCATGCTGTTTCAAAGCTAAAGACTGTTGAGAATATGTCTGACATTTTCTTTGTCTTGTAATTTGACAAAAAGATCTGAAAATAAAATACAAAAAATTCAACATAGTATATGATGTAAGAATTTAGCATGAAAAAACAACTTATAAAATAAACATTTTGGAATATTAAATAGAATGTTATAAAAAATTTTAAACTTTATACATATTCATGAAACCTTCTGACAGGCAATTCATACTTTACACATAAACTTTAATTTGTTTTTTTAAATTAATGAGTGGAATGTGTTCATGATGTATGCATCCATCCAATATTGTTCAAGTAACCTTTAATTTTTTTAATAAGCATTATTCAGGGTCTTTTCAGCTTTTATCGACTTGGCGTTTTCAATTTTTTTCTGACGTCAATTGAATCAGGAGGAATAGTTTTGAAACTACATAATTGAAACTTTGCATGCTTATTTATATTGACATTCTTTACTTAAAGATGGATGGTTTTTTAACAAATGTCTCATAGGAAAATTTGTCAGAATTTTTTATTTATATATTTTATTTGTAATTGTTTTAATTTTTTTTCTATCACTTTTGTCTATGTTTTCACATTGTTCTTTTAATTCATGAATGTTATATGTACTTGGTGTAAGCATCCTATATCGTTCATGCAGCCTGTAATTTAAAAAAAAAACATTTTTATACTTCTTTTTCATTTTTCTCAATTTTGCGTTTTCTGGATTTTTTAGGAACGCCAAATGAATCAGGAGGAAAAGTATTCTAGCAACAGGCTTCAAACTTTGCATGCTTCTTTTAATTAATATTCTTTACAAAATACAAGAGGCTTTTTATATATATAAAACTAGAAAAGTTTTATACAATTTTTACATTTGCTACCCCTAAAAATTTCTCGAAGATTTATGTTACCCCATATACATGCCATTTGTAACACTTCCAATAACTGCAGTGTATTAAGCTTCTTTAAACTTTTTGTCAATGTTATTCTTAATATGTAAGCAAAGTTTCATTATGATATTGCAATATAAATAAGTTTTTATTCATTTTGTGTAAAAGTCAAAATTGGTATAAAATTTTCAATTTTTTGCAATAAAAGTCAAACATTTTTTTTTTTAAATGAACTTTTGTGGGGTTTTTTTGTCTTTCTGTTTGTGTATGGTTTGTTTGCACTATTTTTTTTTTTAAATTAAGAAACATAGAAAAAAAAAATTTGACCCCTGGACTACCTTAAAAACATTAATAATAAATGTATCATCTATCACAGCGGTTCTCAACCTGTGGGTCACGACCCCATTTTTTTTTTTAAATTATTTTTTTTTGGTTTTTTTTTTTTTTTTTTTTTTTTATTTTTTTTTTGTATTATTTTTTTTTTTTAAATTAAGAAACATAGAAAAAAAAAAATTGACCCCTGGACTACCTTAAAAACATTAATAATAAATGTATCATCTATCACAGCGGTTCTCAACCTGTGGGTCACGACCCCTTTGGGGGTCGCGCGACCCTTTTCCAGGGTTGCCTAAGACCAACTGAAAACACATATCCTTACAGCTATGAAGTAGCAACAAAAATAATTGTGTGGCTGGGGGTCGCCATGACACGAGAAACTGTATTAATGGGTCGCGGCACTTAGAAGGTTGAGAACCACTGATCTATCAGTTAATGTTTTTGTTGCCTACCTGAATGGAAATTATATGAAGCCCTCCAATTCAGCTGTTGTAGTTTGGCTTTAAAAATCTTTTAAAACTAAAAATTAGAAGAAAAAAATAATTAATTGTAGAATATTATTAGATGTAACATATTAAGTGAGAATGTTAAAACTTCACTAAGGTTTGAGATTAAATAAGTAAAGTATACATTAAATTATTATGCTATTCTGACTTCAGCAAATTCACACATTTCCCCTCTGCCTCCATCCACCCCTTTTTATGATGCATAGAAGTAGAAGTAAAACATGACTACAGATATACAGATAGGGACAGCTCCTACATTTGCATATTTTAAAATGTAGGGTTACCAGACGTCTGTATTTAGTATGGACGATTTGTATATTCGACCCCCTTGTCCATACTAATTTTTGCATCTGTAATGGTCCATACTTTTCTCTCGCTGTCCGGCTTGTCTGTACTTTTGGAAGTGATGACTTGCTTGTCTTATTTCCATTTCGCTTATCTTATTTCTCAGCAAAGGCAAGCGCAGTGAAAAGTTTTAACTCTATCTGACAGTCCAAAAATAGCATATTTATATCTCCAATGCTGTAAAAATATCCAGCAATTTTGTGCAGGAATGATCGTAATAATGTTGCCATTTCTTTTCATAAGTGAAGTATCTAGATATTGCTTCAATAGTACTCAGTAGTAGCAGTATTTAAGCAATATTTCATCCACTGTATCAATGTTCAGCGGCTCCTATAATTTTTCGATTCCCGCGCTTATGCCTACTTTAGATTTTCACCATTTTGCCACCCTCTCGGATACTACTTTCACAGGCAGGATGAAATTAGGAATCTTATCATCGTTCATTTTACCATAAGATACCTTTTAAACAATGGACAGTAATTAACTTTTTCTGGGAATGTTGAAAAATATAATCACTTTAATTATCATTTTTTTCTATATGTAGACTTGCTAACACAAATCTGATTTATTATTTAATTTATAGATCTAGATGGTAATTTTTACTCTAATGGATTTTAGGCTTATGATACTAACATCATCAATGTCAGACACTTAATACTCTTGTAACTTTGGCATTTTGGCATATCAATATATAAATGAATTTAAAAAATAAAAAAGTGTAATATTTAAATTATAAGTATTGATTGGTCAGAAAATTTATGATAAATGTAATAACATAAGAAGGTATGAGAGTTATAGGCATCACAAATGAAAACCTGGCAATGAGAGATAGTTTTGACCTTGGCCTCTCATGAAAATCATGTGCAGTTATTTATTCAAGTAAAGTAGGTTTAGTTTTAGCATTTATAATTATTTAATACATTGCTCTTTGACTTTAGTGAGTCAAAATGGTTCAGCACATTTTTCTTTTAGTTTTAGTAATTAAGTTAAGTTTCAAGTTATTAATAAAGCTTAGGCATAATAAAGGTTTATAAGTTATTTTATGTTACTTATGAATTTATCATTTTCATAGTTACAAACATGTTTGCCAAATCATTAAATTAATTAAGAAATTAAAATACAATACAAAAATAAAAAAAATAAAAAAATTATTTACCAACACAGTACACTGGTAAAATGAGTAAGATTTAGTAGTAAGTTAGTAAGAGAACCACATTGACATTACAATATGTTCACACTCACAGAAACTAGGACTGGCCAAATACCGCCTAACTTAACTAATTACTTTCATAGTTTCTAGGCATTAGTAGTGGTCCTAGCAATATGGCAAGGCCAGTGAGGTTTTAGCTCCTGCCTACTTTAGTCTTTAGTACTGATTAATGATAATGATTACTTTACTTAGTACTAACACTAACATAGTTCTAACACTCAATAACTACATAAGAAATATTTAAATTCAACACCTTAAAATAAAATACAGAGATTCTAATTTATTTTTGTATATTTATTTTTAATAAATTGTATTCTTTACTAAAAATATAATGACAGAAAAGGGGGTTTTGGTCATCCAAATGTGAACAATTTATTTTGTAAATCATAAACCGGAAGTGAAAGTTAATAACATAATATCCGTTGCTAAGGGTAGACCAAGAATCGCAAATTTATTTATTAATGAGTTATTTAGTATTCATTAAATATTTGTGAAATTACAGCTGTATACGTTATAAGGGTTGGTACGCCCTAGATGACACTGTTATTTATATTGATTTGATGGGCGGTCATTTTCAGCCAAACGCAGCGTTAATTCGTGTGTGTGTGTGGGGGGAGGGGGGATCTTGTATAGTATTGTAGTGCATCACTTTCAAGCATCTTCCATGGACACTGCCCTTACTTGCGGCGTGCTACACTGTTACACAGGGTTTCTTTCAGGCATACCTCCGGGGTTAGGGGGCGCAGTGCTAATTTTGTTTCTAATTTTGTAACACAATTTCGAGAACAACAGAGTAAAATGATTTATTTTTAAACAACTACTCAGCCTTTATGATTATGTATTAAATCCCCTATGACTTTTCTCTGTTTAATATGAGACTAAGAAACTATATTCCCTAGCTTTTTGAACTAATTTTTTAAAAGATTCATTTTTAGTTGATAATCCAGTAGAAAGAAGATATAGTCTATATTTAAATTACGTATTAATTTTATTATTATTATTTTTAATTCTAGTATTTTGATTATCTTGTAAATGCCATTTTTGGTGGTAGATAAAAATAAATTCTATTGAATTGGTAAAAAAAAAAAACTTGTTTTAAAGTATAATATCCAATAGGCAAGTTGTAATTGATGTGAAGCAAATTATAGTAGTTTGAAAATCTAAATGACATTTCAATCCACTGAATATTGAGAATTTAAAATTTATTTTTATAATATTTCCTTCACAAAAAATCACACATTAATAAATATATGATGTCTTTTGTAAACAACTCATGTCTCATGTCTTCTTAACAATTATGTAGGTTACATACAATTTATAAATAAACATCCATTTTAAAACCCATAAAAATGTATAGCCTCTTGTACAGTAAACGTTTTTTTCCCTCATGATTTTGTATACACACTTAGTCAAGCAGAGACGTCGTTTGACTTTTTGTGGCATCCTGGTACTTTTCGGGGTTGTCTTTCCCTACCTAGCAGTAAAAGGTGATAATTTAAATTAATTACAGCTAAACTTAAAGCCCATAAAATATACGAGGCCCCATTCAGAAAGCCCATAAAATATACGAGGCTCCATTCAACTATACGGGTTGCAGACCTCACACGATGGCTCCGAAGTCAAGTGACACCTAAAATCTTAACTAGCATCTCTCCCCGTTGTTTTCCAGTTGAGTGTATAATGATGCAAAACTTAATTTAACAATGCACAAAAATACATTCTTGCATTTTGAATTTATCAAAAAAATTTCCGGGGCCTATAAAGTTTTAAGGGGCGAGTCTAAGCTAGGAAGGGCGTGTCTACGCTAGGGAGGGCGTGTCTAAGCTAGGGAGGGCGTATCTACGCTAGGGAGGGCGAGTCTAAGCTAGGAAGGGCGTGTCTACGCTAGGGAGGGCGAGTCTAAGCTAGAAAGTATTTCTCGACAAAAAAGTATACCCTAAGGGCTCCCAAATGAAATGAATTTAGTTAATATTGGGCTGATGGAATAGTTAGCGATGTCCTGTTATGGCTATTTCTAGCACTTCCCACCCAAAGTCTCAAATTTCTTCATCAGTGGCGCTTCATCCCATGTAGGGCCCTGGCCTGTTTCACCACATTCTTCCATTCGCATCGATCGAACCTTTGTAAGTCCTTCTCTACATCGTCAATCCATCTCAGTCTTGGTCGACCGGTGAGCCGTCTGCCCCTAAGTTTCTGCCTGTAGATCGTTTTTGCTGATCCAGAATCTGGCATCCTTTCAATGTGTTCTTTCCAGAACACTCTGCCTTTTTTATTAAGGTTGTGACCATGGATGGGTATTTGTACTATTGATATAGCTCTGGTTTGTACGGATTTAAAAAACAAAATTGTATGTCATCGGGTCATATATTGAGCAGGTCTCTGCTTTTCTAGTAGGGGCCAAGTGTCCCTTGCTTAAGTTACCATTGGTTTTATGATTCTTGGTGTATATTGCCTTCTCTGTTCAATTAGAGAGGTTTTTGCTTCGTAGTAGCTTTTGTAAGTTGAAATAAGAACGGTTTCATGCTGTTATCATTTCTTTTACCTCCGATTGTAATTCCCTTTAGCTTATTTATAGTCACGCCTAGATATTTGAAAGCAGCTACTATCTCAAAGGTGTGGTTTTTCATAATGATGGTTTCATCAGTGTTCGTATTTCCTGACATTATATATATATATATATATATATATATATATATATATATATATATATATATATATATATATATATATATATATATATATATATATATATATATATATATAT